TTATATATTTATCCTCCCCTATTGCACAAGTAGATTTTACATTCATTCATTATTTAAAATCACTTTCCAAGGGAGTTATTTGCTTAAAATTTGTGCGTAAAATTTATAAGAAAAATATTGTCCTTAATTTATTTTTTTATAAAAGTTACTTTTAATTTGACATTGGATGCAACATGGCGGATGAGCGGGGTTTAGTGGCTATTGTCGCCACTGTCTTGTATAGAGCCACTGTACACATACCCACCTAAACAGGTTTCTATAGCATTTGGCGTTTGGTCCCTAGCGACCGAGGCGTTACTGGTGGCCCACCCTGTATATTCTGTCAAAACTGATTTTCTTTAAATTCACTGCACCTACGTATATTTATCTCGATACCATTTTTCGCTTTTAGATTGGGAATAACTTCATTAATTCGAGAGGCAATGTCCGCTTGGGACTCGCATGAAGAAGGTCGCCTAGTTTACCGTTACGGGGGAACTCCAGTCGGGTCGTTCTATCAACCCAGAATCAGGCCTTTAGTTCCGTCTATAGCCCACGCGTTGTTCTTGGATTTAACTCACGACAACCCAAGCCCCGTCGAGAAGAGATCGGTTTTCGATCTCCTACCGAGCACCGCATTGGTTAACATGGCCTGCTGCGCAAGCGGCTCAAATAGAGGCTACGACGAGTTGGTACCGCATCACATACACGTCGTGGATGAAACTAGGCAATATACAGAATGGACAGACGATGAAAATTTGGCCATGGGGAATTTAAGATACGTTACGAAGAAATCCGGTATCATTCTTACCAAAAAAGCCATTAACGACATACATTTTACGTTGGGTAAAGAAGGCTACCACCAGGTAATATAAATTTTGTGATGAGTATGCCTCACATATTTTTTTATTTATTTTATAATACATGAAAGAAATTCAATTTTTAAACCAGTGTTACATCCTGATTACGTGTTTCGATTAATTTTATTTTACACAGGTTTACGTGGACCAAATGGACCCAGATATCGTAGCCGTGACAAGGCATCGTCCCGACACCCACGAAAGTTACATCCTTGTAGCGTTCACCGCATTCGGGCATCCGAGAGAAGACGCCGGCAATTACCAAAGAGGCATAAAGCCTCTGAGGTTCGAAGGAGTTTTGGATGAAATCGTTTTGGAAGCAACACTAAGCCACGTCAGCGTCAAGTGTGTATTCTCCGTAAATATCCTTCGAGCAACTACATGATTTATTTGTAGGAATGGCGGTTCGAAATTTGCTAGATGGGAGAATTTCACCAGTGACTCAAAGTGGGTAAACGGTCTTTCTGAATACCAGGTTGCCTTGAAGCAACACATACAGGCTGACGAGTCGGACATATTCGAAAAAGTCGATTCCGGAACACCGAACGTTACACAGTTGAACTTTAAAAATTTCAAGCCTGGGTCTGTTGTGGTGATCAAGTAAGTTTTTGGTGTGGCTTAGCATCGGAAGTTATCGCATTGTCATTTTAGGGCGTCGTTGCCGGAAACCATGAAGGATGCCGTTAAATCTGTGCGATCCTTAATCAATCAATTCTCGCTGACAAAGGAAACGGAACTGTCTCGTATCATCGATCAGTTAACGTTGGCTGACTTGAACAGAATAATTTACAGGTGCGACCAGGAGGAAAGAGATGAAGGATTCGGGTTTGACACGTATCATATTCCCAATTTCGGTCCGCTCGTGTACGCAGGAGTGCAAGGTACGTGATATTTCAGTAAAGTAAGTTCTTTAAAATTATGACGTTTTTATAAATCTGTACAAAAGAATGTTTTATTATTACTCACAATTAAAAAATAAGTAGTATTTTTAATAGTAGAAGGCTGTACTAAATGAATATTGAATGAATGTGAACAAAATTTGTAGAACTTTTGTCTTTTAATGAAAAACATTGAATTTTTTTTAATCTCGATCACAAACTTGTGCCAAAAAGAACATGTAATACCTCAAAGTGTCTTCCCTATTATATTTTAATAATAATAGAACATAAAAAGTTTTATTTATGTATTTTTTATTTTTTTTTTTCAAGGATTTGTATCTCTTCTGGCTAATATTAGGCCTAATAACGATTTGGGCCATCCAATGTGTGCAAATTTAAGAGATGGAAACTGGATGATTGGTGAGTTATGAAATTATAATACAAACCATAAATTGCTTGTGATCGGGGAGATTTATTTTTTACATCGTTCGCGAAATGTAACGGCAGTCCGAGGTCATTAATTCTACTGTTTTGTATCCTAACAACAGCCAAGATTTTGCGTTCAACCCATAACACTTATTTGGAAAACAAATAAACATGGCGACGCAAATAAAAAAACAATCGAAAGTCAAAATTTTGTCCTAGAGCTGTTGTATAATAGTTTTTTCAAAATTAATTTTTTATTGTTTATATTTAAAAATTAAACTGGCTTAAATCAAAAATTGCCTACATGAGGGAAGCGGATCTATTTTTTAGCTTTGCAGTGATACCAAAATTATGTCGATTTGATAGAAATTACTCAAAATTATATGCTAAATCCCAAACGCCTACAACTTCAAAAACAAATATATGTTTTAAATTCTTCAACGATGTGTGTTAATAAATGTCATGGGCTAAGAGATTGGTAATTGCGGGCAAGACCGGAGTTCAAAGAACTGTCTGGTTATAATCTGTACGTTCTCAATTGAGACAGTATTTAATTAAACCATCAAACTTACTTTTGTCTTCACGTCGAAGGGAAATGATATTGCAAAATATAATAAGTAAGTTTTATATCGTTATATTTATAGTAAAGGGCCATGCATTAATTACATTAGAAAGCGGTCTCGGTCAAAATTGAAAATTGGTGTGGATACGTGTTATTTTTGGCCTCTGAAATAAAGTTCCGATCATAAAAACTGGCAGATGGTTTGTTTGTCTGTGTTTGGTCACTTTTACTCCTTTTTTAGTAGCCTTTCAGTTTTTTAATTGTAGCAAAATCATTAATAAACAATTTTAAAAGAGCAATGATTTTTTGCATAAAATTTTTCTTCAAAATTTTTAAAATAAGCCATTTCGATAGGAAATTCAATTCTCTAAATCATTTTTCCTATGAACTATACCGAAATTTTGCTTCGTTTTCTTGCTATACAGTGCAACCTCTTTAATCCGATCACACGCTAATCCAAACGATGACAAGAAAAGACTAGATCGCTTCGCGCGTAGTCGACAGTCGTTCGCGCCTATCCGCCCAATGTCAGTTTGTTTGCCGATGAACCTGTTGTATGTCATGTTTTGTGTAACAATTTTGGAGCTTTTTTGGAAGTAAAAAAAATAAAAAATGTGAAAAGCGTAAAATAATACATATATGTATATGTAACTACTTGTTTATGTTCTACCTTATATAAGTTTTATGTGTCTTATATGATTTATACATATGTACAAATCTTTATAGTATGTTCGATAATCCGAACGATTCGATAATACGAACAATGCCTGGCAATGTGGTGTTCAGATTAAAGAAGTTGCACTGTATTTAAAAAACTGCAAAAGTGCATTTTCACCCCTATCTTCAATTTCAACCCTCTAATTTAATTGCACCCCTCAGTTTTTTCATTTTTAATGACCCTTCAAACAAGTCGACAAATGAGAATTAAAATGCATAAGGGTAAACGCGACGAAAATTGAAAAATTGACTATGTTTGAACGGCCATATATCGGTCAATTTTCATCCAAAAATACTTTACAACATAATCAAAATAATCTACTAAGGGAAATACGGTACAAAGGGTAAATGTTGAATGTAACGAGCGTTCAAATAAAAACGTGGTCAAGTTGGTTCTGAAAATTTGGACGTAGGGCGTAGCGTATAGCAAATGAACTTAAACGTCATCTGTCAAAGCGCTATATCGCCGCTATCAATTTGAATATTTTTGTTTTAAAAAGCTTTTAAAATGGTGTTTTCTCAAGAACAAAAAGTGTTTATCATAGAGTTCTACTTTAGAAATGGACGCAAGATTGATGGAATATGGAAGTATTCTATTGAGGAATGTTTCATAGAATTTCAAAATCAATTTCCCGTTGGCGTTGTTGAGTACAAAATTTTTCAAAGTGCAGTTCAGCGTTGTGTTAATGTTTTTCGTGAAACGGGCAGTGTAACAAGAAAAGAAGGAAGCGGCCGACCTAAAAAGCGGACTGAAGAATTAAAAGAAAATGTCCAACAAATAATGGAAAATGCGCCAAGAACTTCTGTACGTGTTTTATCACAAATGGTGGGAGTATCAGTCGGTACCTGCCACACAGTGTTAAAAAAAGATTTGCGTTTGTTCTCCTTTAATTGTTTGTTATTGTTATCACATTATTCTTTAAAATAAAGTTATATAGTTATTAACGTTATTGAAACTGACAGCTGCTATACAGCTCGTTGAGAAATGAGGTTAAGTTGGTCGCTATAAGCTACTCCCTACGTCCAATGTGTCAGTGCCAACTTCGACCACGTTTTTATTTGAACGCTCGTTATATAAAACGCCTCCACTAACGCTGCGATAATTGTACCAATCAGAGGTTGATATAATTTTCTGTACGATCTTACAACTTAACCACTAACATTACAATTTTACATACGATTCATTTCTAGTTAGTACAGATTTTGATTTATTGAATAAAATTTAAAATATTTTGGAAAGACAAAACATGCATAATTTTAGCTGGGACATTGACTGTAGTGTTACATAAAAACAAAAATAAAAAGAGGAGCATTAAAAAATGAAATCGATGGGGATGTCAGTTATTCAATTTTGTGTTGCAACAAAAATTGTACAACTTCAACACTAACAATACAATAGTTGTGTCAATTCAAGTACAATTATTGAAGTAAATATTGTAACATTATAGGCCCGTTTAAATCAATCTAAACATTCTAAATACGTCCACCGTAAAATCATCGTAGTGGGAGAGTGATAGTCTCTGTCTCTAGGTGTAACGCCCGTGCACCCGCAGCGATACCCCAGGAGTGTACAGAGAACGGACTCTTAAGAAAAACCACAGAGCCATTATTTTTTTTGTAGATTAATTCACTGACTCAGTTAGCAGGTGCTAACGTATTAAATAAGATTGTGATGCGAAATATGTAACAATGGCTTCTCTTACTCCTCAAGAATATTGTGAACAGCAATTGAAGTAATTCTACAACTAGTAGAAAAAATTGCTTCACTTAATACCTGACAAATTCCGTTTTGGTTAGGGCTATCACAAACAAGTCTTAGTACCTTCTAACCTTTCTGTGCGACACATTATTTGACAATTTGTTTTTAGACTTCTTATAGGGGGACCTGGTCCATGCACGAAAGAGTGCCTCTATATTTTAAATGTAATGTTTGTGTCTCTATTTTACGTTTGCTGTATTCAAATAAATCACCCTGTATATATTAAATTTTTAACATTCTTGTGGGTGTTCTATAGTTGAATTCCTTCACAGTACATTTTTAGTTAGTTGCGAGGAGCTTAAAAATGGAAAAATTTCAATGTTTAATAATTTTGTAGAATACATTTGGAAGAGATTAAAATTAGACATCAACACTAGACATCTGGGACAGTGGATCGAAGAGAACACAAAATTCTTTAACAACATACCAAGATACTTGGTACCAAGCTATTTTGACGTTGTCGTTACAGGAATCTACGTTCTCTTACTGGAGAAATGTTATAAGCTAATGTCTAAGTACGTACACGTTGTACCACAAACATAGTTTTCTTTATATTCTCCTACATTTATTTCCAGTTTTGTCAATCACGGTTCTACATTCGTAAGAGGTCTCTCCTTGGGTTCCGTGCAATTCGCGGCTTACATAAAATCGGCCGATCTACCGGTTCTGTCTCCTAGTCTAGCACCGCCGAAACCACCGACTAGAAAAAACGACAAAGGTGAAAGCGTCCAGGCTTGCGTCACTTTAAGTGCCGGTAAGAAGTGTTTACGACGTTGACGTTAATCGCTTGAAAATATAAAATTACCTTTTAGGTTTGCCGCACTTCGCCGTCGGTTACATGAGGAATTGGGGAAGAGATACGTTCATCTCTTTGAGAGGACTGTTCATACTTACGGGACGGTTTGAAGAAGCCAGGCAACATATTTTGGGATATGCCGCTTGTTTGCGACACGGCCTCATACCTAATTTGTTGGACGGCGGACGTAACTCAAGGTAAAATATTATTTACTGTAGTTAGAATTCTTCCGACATTTTTTCGTCATGAAATTTCTCTTTGTGGACCTAGAAAGTGGTACAGCTCCTACTTTTTATCGATTTTTGACCACTTTAATTTTCGTTTAAATTTCACGAAATCTTGTCCATCATTTTTACGAGTAGAATCACCTAAGTTTCCTTTTAGGTTCAATTGCAGAGACGCCGTATGGTGGTGGCTGTATTGCATTAAGGAATACGTAGAAGAGGCTCCAAACGGGGATAAAATTCTTACCGATAAAGTGTCTAGGATATTTCCAACGGACGATTCTCCAGCTCAACCACCAGGAGCTGTCGATCAGCCGTTACACGATGTTATGCAGGAAGCCTTGAAGGTCCACTTCCAAGGATTAACTTTCAGAGAACGGAACGCGGGCAGGCAGATAGACGAACACATGACGGACAGAGGATTTAACAATCAAATAGGCGTTCACCCGGAAACAGGTAAACATTCTTTAATAAATATAATCGTTGAGTAGTGCTTTTTAAAAATTGTTTCAAAAGTGACACAAGTCCGATTGACGCATTTTGTTTTTTTAGGGGTAAAAACTAAGTGAAAAAATTGAAAAAATTAAGTTTTAAACATTTTATTGATAAAAATCTTGTTCAAGCACAGAGATTAAATAATGTTCCATGTTCTCGAACATGTTTTATGATATATTTGATCTTTTCGATCCTTTATTTAACCCTTAAAAACTACCCCTATGCAAAAAATAATGATAAAAAATTACTATTTAAAAATTTGGAATGATTAAATCGTAAAATTATTTAAAATAAGTTACCTTCTAGCTAATAAAAGAATGTTTCCCTTTCAATCCCTAAAAACCACCCATGTATTGACAAAAATGATAAAAAATTACTTTTTAAAAACTTGGAATGCTTTAACGGTGAAATTATTTAAAATAAAAATTCCCTCATTGCTTATGAAACAATTTGTATCTCATAACACTTTTCAACCCTTATAAAATCACCCCTGTGCTAAAAAAATTATAAAAAATTACATTTTAAATCTTGGAATGTTATAATTGTGCAATAATTTAAAATAAAAATTCCCTTATATTGTTGCGCACTTGAATCCTAACATTTTGCTCCAAAAATGAGAAAGCCTATTTTGCTCCGAAAAAATGTCATTGGTTTTTTTACCATAACTCGGTTAATTTTGAAGCTATAGTATCCTACAAAAAAGCATTTTAAAGATAATTTCAAGACCTGTAAGATTGTTTGCATATAAAACCTTTTAAGTCTTTCGGTTTTTAAAGGGAAAGGATGGAAGGGCTCGAGACAGGTCATTTTTTCACTACAAAAGATACTACAAGCGGCGATATCTCTTTTATTTTTTATGCTATAGGAATAAAGAAAATGCAAAATATTTGTTGAAAAAAAAGCTACATTTTTGTTGTCTATCATTTTTTACGTATCTTTCATAGTTTCAGTTATTATATAAAAAAGGCAATTTTTTTTTGAATAATGAAAAATACGTTTTCAACTTTTACCGTATCTTTCATAGTTTCAAAGTTATTATATAGATGAGGCAAGTTTTTTGAATAATGAAAAATACGTTTTCAACTTTTACCGTACATTATTAAACAAATACGCATTCTAAACCTGTCTAACTTCAGGATCGTATGAAAAATACTAAAACAAAACTAATTGTAAAGGGTCTACGATTAATTTTTATTCTGATGGAAATGGTACAGCGTTTACCACTCATTTTTCCTTAAAAAATATGAGCAACCCATCTATTTTTGACAATAACTCCTTCAATTTTGGTCTAATTAACTTTTATAAGTGCTCATTTTGAAGGTCTTTTTGAGTACTACAAAAAACTCCGGGAGCGTTATACACGTAAAATTAATCCTTTTTCCGTTATTTGACGTTGTATACATCGATTCGAGTATTCCCTCCAAAACAAGTCCCCTTCCACTAACCATATTTCGCTTTGTATAGAACGTATAACACTTTTTAATTAATTTTCTTTGTTTATCTATAAGCTACATTTTTGTTCATTACACTTTTTTAATAAAATGGGTAGTTTTTGAGTTATTCGCGAAAAATACTTTCAAAAAGTGTTTTTTTTCACTCAAAATTCAAAGTTTTCAATAGTGAATAACTAAAAAACTAGATTTTTCGAAAAAATTCTTCGAATATTTTTTGCTCAAAATTTGATTCTCTATCGATTTCCAGCGTTATTTTTGAAAAAAAAATGTCCACCCCCGAGAAGGGGTGTCAACCCCCAACAGGGTGGAATCGTCAATCGGCGTTATGCATAAATGCCTCCATAGAGCCTAGCCCGAGAACAACAAACGCAGGTCAAAAATTCTTAGCTAAGTTNGTTACCTTATAGCTAATAAAAGAATTTTTCCCTTTCAATCCCTAAAAACCACCCCTGTATTGACAAAAATGATAAAAAATTACTTTTTAAAAGCTTGGAATGCTTTAACAATGCAATTATTTAAAATAAAAATTCCCTCATAGCTTATGAAAGAATTTGTATCTCATAACACTTTTCAACCCTTATAAAATCACCCCTGTGATAAAAAAAATTATAAAAAATTACATTTTAAATCTTGGAATGCTATAATTGTGCGATAATTTAAAATAAAAATTCCCTTATATTGTTGCGCACTTGAATCCTAACATTTTGCTCCAAAAATGAGAAAGCCTATTTTCCTCCGAAAAAAATGTCATTGGTTTTTTTACCATAACTTGGTTAATTTTGAAGCTATGGTATCCTACAAAAAAGCATTTTAAAGGTAATTTCAATAGCTGTAAGATCGTTTGCATATAAAACCCTTTAAGTCCTTCGTTTTTTAAAGGGAAAGGATCGAAGGGCTCGAGACAGGTCATTTTGTCACTAAAATGGATACTTCAAGCGGCGATATCCTAGGGATGGGCAAAAATAACCGGTTAAATGAATAACCGATTATTGTGTGTCGGTTAACCGGTCAAAAACCGGTTATTTCCCGACTTCGGTTTAACCTGATAACCGATTATTTATGTCAAAAACCGCGTGCCAGTTATTTTACCGATACCGAGTGAAAATTTTAGCTCTAGCTCACTGTACGATTAAAGTATATTGTGCTCTATCCCTAAACTTGAAAGTAGATCAGACTACAGCATAGATAAAATAAATAAATATTTATTTTGCTGTGATCAGACTTAAGCCATCGTCGGCCGGACATTCTATTTAGTGGTCTGTGGGTCGGACCACGCTAATTAGGCTTCCTTGACGGGACAAAACATATTGGTCATTATGAAGTGTCAAAATAACAATAAATTTCAGCTGTCAAATCAATGTTTTATTTCTCCTCGATATGAAAACCTAACCAATTGATAAAGTTTAAAAAAATAAATATAAGCACTGCTTGGTGTTTGAATAAAAGTAAAAAAATATAAATTTTTAAATCAGATACATGACTACACAATTTTTTAATACAGAGATAAATTAGAGCACTCACAAAAATTTAAAAGGGCCGGTTATTTCAATAACCGGTTTTTAGGTAGAGGTTAACCGATTCAGGTTTAACCGACTAAGAAAAATTACCGGTTAACCGATAACCGGTTATTTTTCAATAACTGCCCATCCCTACGATATCCCCTTTATTTTTTATGCTGTAGGAATAAAAAAAGCAAAATATTTCTTGAAAAAAAAAAGCTACATTTTTGTTGTCTATCATTTTTTATGTATCTTCCATAGTTTCAGAGTTATTGTATAAATAAGGCAATTTTTTTTTAATAATGACATACGTTTTCAACTTTTACCGTACATGACTTAAAAAATACGGATTCTAAACAGGTCTAACTTCAGGATTGTATGAAAAGCACTAAAACAAAACTAATTATAAAGGGTCTACGATTAATTTTAATTCTGATGGAAATGGTACAGCGTTTACTGCTCATTTTTTCTTAAAAATATGAGCAACCCATCTGTTTTTGATGATAACTCCTTTAATTTGACTCTAATTAACTTTTATAAGTGCTCATTTTGAAGGTCTTTTTGAGGACTACAAACAACTCCTGTAGCGTTATACACGTAAAATTAATCCTTTTTCCGTTATTTGACGTTGAATACATCAATTCGAATATTCCCCTTCCTCTAACCATATTTCGCTTCGTATAGAATGTAAAACACTTTTTAATTCATTTTCTTTGTTTATTTATAAGCTACATTTTTGTTCATTACACTTTCTTTAATAAAATGCGTAGTTTTTGAGTTATTCGCGAAAAATATTTTGATAGTATTTTTTTTTCACTCAAAATTCCAAGTTTTCAATAGTGAATAACTAAAAAACTATTGATTTTTCGAAAAAATTCTTCGAATATTTTTTGCTCAAAATTTGATTCTCTATCGATTTCCAGCGTTATTTTTGAAAAAAAAATTCCACCCCCGAGAAGGGGTGGGTTGACAACAGGGTGGAATCGTCAATCGGCGTTATGCATTTAGGGGTTCTGCCTCCATAGAGCCTAGCCCGAGAACAACAAACGCAGGTCAAAAATTCTTAACTAAGTTTAAGGAAGTGCAATGTATGTAATTGGCTATGACCAGGTACATAGACCGGGACATATTAACCCGAAAAACCATCATATTTTAAATAAGATAGGATTATTTTTTTAACTTACCAGTTTTCTAAAAGCTTTACATAAATTAACGACAAACTTCGACGTATTTATGACAAAGTGTTCATATTCCTGGTGAATTTAGATATCGGAATTTCGAAAAATAAAACATGACGAACAAACGTAAACGCAAATAGAAAATTGTTGAAGTTATGCTGATTTTATAAATATTTCAGGGTTTGTGTTCGGCGGCAACGGATGGAATTGCGGCACATGGATGGATAAAATGGGTTCGTCGGACAAAGCAGGAAACCGCGGCGGGCCCGCCACTCCAAGAGACGGCTCCGCCGTCGAACTCATCGGTCTCTCCAAGGCCGTCATAACGTGGCTGTGGAAACTTAACCAAAATAAGAAATATCCTTACAGCGGTGTGGAAAGGACCCACAAGAACGGTTCCGTTACCAAATGGACGTTTAAGGAATGGAGCGATAAAATTCAAGCCAACTTTGAAAAGTATTTCTGGATAAGTAATACGCCAGTGCCGGAAGAATACAGATCTGATTTAATCCACAGAAGGGGGATTTATAAAGACAGTTTCGGGGCTTCGAATGTATGGGCGGATTTCCAGCTGCGTTGCAACTTTCCAATCGCGATGGTCGCGGTAAGTAAATATAAAAATTGGGGAAAATATAATGGGCATAATTAGGTCTATGTAATTTTTGCAAAAAAAAATAATCAAGTTTCGCAAAAACGAAAATCCAAAATTTCACATTTATTCGCTAATACCAAAAAACAAATTTCAAGTCAGCAACAGAATAATAAAGTTTTATAGAAAAGAAATTGTCACTTTATAAAAATGATGGCGCAACATTTTTAAATTTAACTTAATATACAGGGTGTCCCAAAATTAGGGGGCAGTATTTCTACAGGGTGTTCTATGTCGAAAAAGATTTTATGAAATTTGGTAACTAGCTTAATTCTTACGTGCTCAGTCTGCCACTAAAACGAAATTTACAAATTTTCATCACATACGTTCTCACACTGGGGGGGGGTCACAAAATTTACCATAAAAAAAAGGTCCTCTTGGTTCAGATTGGTAGAATATTTAATTTTTGTGTAAAATCCGTTTAAAAATAATGTGTACATGTGTAAACGAGAACTTACCGAGAATTGAAATTGTCAATATTTTTTATTGTCGCAGGTTTTGAATAACAAAAATGCGTTTGGCGTCATTTGCATTGACAGTTCCATTATTTACTTTTTGCGAATTGTTTTAAGTCAAAAATGCAACATTTTACAAATGTAGAGCTAGAAGATATTTATAATACCCATTTCTGGTCAGACCAAAATTCATGGGCAATACGGCACACGAATTTTCAAAATAGATTTGCAATAAATGTGTGGACAGGAATTTTAGAGGTCCAGTTAGTTGGACCAATTCAGTTTCCCGTTCGTCTGAATGCAGAAGGATACTTAAACTTTCTACAAAATGATGTAAGATACACTGTTAAATGTACGCTTAACGTTACACTATCAACAAGATGGGGCACCACCTCACTTTGCCCATAATGTCATAAGTTGGTTAAACCATCGTTTTCCTGGCAGGTGAATAGGTAGAGGTGGCCCCACTCCATGGCCACCTCGATCTCTAGACCTAATCCTCTAAATTACTTTCTGTGGAGTAGGACGAAGGCTGTAGTTTACGCTACAGATATAAATCCTTGGGAAGAATTACAAGAGAGGATTCATTTGGCTACGAATCAAATCTGACAAAATAATTTTGAAATTTAGAGGTCTTCACAGGCAATTCGACGTCAAGCTGAAAAATTTATTCAGTGAAATAGAAATCTTTTAGAGAAAAATTACTATTGAGATAAAGATAAGTTTTATTAATGGTGTAGTTTTGAATTATTTTTACTAGTTTATTGTATTTAATAATTTCAATGGTTTTTTTTACTTTGTCAAATAATAATTTACGCGTTTTTGTTTTTCATAACCCGCTACAATAGAAAATATTGACAATTTCGATTTCCGATGGTTAACACATGTAATTATGCATTATTTTTAAATGGATTTTACATTAAAATGGAACATTCCACCAATATGGAGCAAGAGTACCTTTTTTTTACTTAAAAACTCTGAAATTTGATAGTTTTCAGTCGAAAGTCATAAAAGTCAAAGCATAAAAAAGGTACGGTAAAGGACCCCGCACTTTTCTTATGGGAAGTGGGTTTCGCCAATTTTTTTGAAACTTCGCAGGTTGATAGTTCTTAACATGTAGATCAAAAGTCTCAATGGGCACGAAGCCCCAAATCCACACCTTCCCCCCCAAAAACTGCCTCCAAGTAGTGGGGAGTTTACTCGTTTTATGAAAAAAAGTATACGTATGATAGCTGTACATATATACGTGTATTAAGCTTAACATCGTTTTGCAGCTTGAATATTCTTTTTCGAAAAAAATCACATAAAAACTTTTTTTTAGATTTAGTCAAAATAAATAGCTTTTACATGAAATATTTTTTCATAAAATCACAAACTTTCTACAGCTATATAAACAATTAAATTGTTAATAACAATTTTCCTGACCCGATTTTGTAAAATTGAGTTGCAGATTCAAATTCAGTGTGAAAAAATATGTGCAAAAAAAAATACGTGCAACTATAAAATACAGTAATCTGGAAAATCCGTAGGCTGATTCGTAGGGGGCGGGGTCAAGTGGGGCAGTTTGCTAATCAAAAATGTGGTTGTTTGGGGTCGTTGTTGGGTTAATTACAAAAATAAATTGTTTTACATGCAGAAATCAGTTAAATCGCCCCTGCTACTTGGAGGCAGTTTTTTTGGGGGGGGTGGGGGGTAAGTGGTGGATTTGGGGCTTTGTACCCATTGAGACTTTTGATCTACATGTTAAGAATTATCAACCTGCGAAGTTTCAAAAAAATTGGCCGAAACCCACTTCCCATAAGAAAAGTGCGGAGTCGTTTTACCCCCCTCCTCCCCAGTGTTGGAACATATACGATTAAAATTTTTAGATTTTGTTTTAGTTATGGACTGAGCATATAAAAGTTAAGCTAGTTACCAAATTTCATAAATTTATCTCAACTTGTTCAGGAGTTATTTAGAAAAAAACATCATCAGAGTGGCCCCTTTAAGTGGCTATAAGTTCCTTAGGAAGAATTTTTGCACCCATGTTTATACAAAGAAAAAGTAATATATTTTTCAAAATACCCTGCAGAAATATTGCCCCCTAATTTCGGGACACTGTGTGTGTATCAGATAGTCTTATTGTTACTTGAAAGCCAACATTGCAATCGTTTCTACATTTTCTTCCAACAGCCTGGTCCTATCTGTGATGACAATGTTATAAATTTTGAATTTCTGCTTTGCAAAATTTAGATGAATGTATTTAGTTGCCCATAAAATCTGAAAAATATTGAAAAAAAGAATATATTTCTGACAGAAATCTTTTCTGAGCAACTGCGTGGTAATAGCTATAAAGGAACAAAATAGTGTACCAATGTGTTGGTAGGCCTTGCTCGTTTTACTAGAGGCGCATCGCTTCACGTTTATTTCCATATTTCACATTTACTTGCATTTTTTCCGTAATTTCACATTTATTCTCACTTGTACAGGCTCCTGAATTATTTACTCCCCAACAAGCCTGGACAGCCCTGAGACAGGCCGAAAAACACCTATTGGGGCCCTTGGGAATGAAAACGTTGGATCCCAAAGACTGGCTTTACAACGGCAACTACGACAATTCTAACGATTCTACCGACCCGTCAGTCGCGAATGGATTTAACTATCACCAGGGACCGGTACTCTAATACTTTCATCGTCATTATTTACTTATTCCTTACGTCTCGCTTTACAGGAATGGGTATGGCCGGTAGGGTTCTTTTTAAGGGCCAAACTCCATTTTGCTTCTCTAAACGGAGTCCTTAACGAAACCATAGCTGATACAAAGGTTGTCTTGTCCAAACATTTTACGGAATTGCAAAGCTCAGTATGGAGAGGCCTTCCGGAACTTACCAATAGCAATGGTTCGTATTGCCGCGACAGCTCTAGGACGCAGGCGTGGAGCATGGCCTGCATTTTGGAGGTATTTGATAATGCTTTTGTTTTTTAGTTGTTAGAAAAAAGATTTATGAAATTAGTAAAAATCTTAGTGTCTATAGGATCATATTCGATGCACAGTAATAAATCATTGCCTGTCAAGGGATCCAGTGCAATACGGTTTTAAGGGGCCCTAAAAATGATAACACCTTTGATAAAAGACCGACAATTTTTTGCTTTACTTTGCATCAAATACGATCCTACTATAGTTTCTTATATTGGGGCTCATTTTTTTTATGGAACTTTGGTTCTGATGTGTTGCTAAGTGTACGTCAATCATTTACGACCGAAAATATTTTTTTTTAGGTCCTTCACGATTTGCAGAAGATCGAGTCTAATCAACCTGTATTTATTAATTGACTTAGCGGTAGTTTAGTGTATAAACAAAATAAAGTAGTTAAGGCTCATTATTATGACAATTCCACATCGACAGAAATAGACCAAAAGAAAAATCCGTCTCCGAAACTATCAAAAATATTACGTCGGCAAAAAGTTCACACCGAGGCGGTTTTTTCGCTGGAGGAAATCAAAATTTATACGTCGCAACTGGGTAAACCTCAACATTATGAAGTCGACTTGGTTAATAATGCAATCAGTGTTTTTACAACTTATAGTGACATTTATTTTAAAAATAACCAAACTTTAACTAGTTTTATAGTCCCTGTTCGGGACTTAGTACAGACCGAACGTAATATCCTTATATCAAACAGTGTATCAAATTGTAATACTGCTTTCGTGCCTTTTTATTGTAAATACCCTGCTCAGGAGACCCCCGGATTGTTACTCAACTTACCCAAATTTGATTTACATGAATCTCGAGATAAACTAGGTTTGAACTCGTGTCTTTTCAAGAATTATGTTCCCATTTTTGCATCGACTAGCGATCATTTTTATTATCCTAGGAAAGTGTACAGCCACCAATATTCGCGGGTATCGGTTTCGAACGGCAAAAAGAAGTCAGCGCCGAGCGTCAATTTAGATGAAATTAAACCAGTTCTAGACGAAATATCGAACAGCTCGGACGTTTTGAATTACGAAGAAACGGATTTAATCGAGGAAAATGTGAATCAACCGATAACCGAACGGGACGTTCTTTTACTTAATCCTCTTTTGTTAGAAACCGTTCCGAGAGCGAAACCCAGGCTGACGCAGTCGGAACATAAAAAAATAGCACGCATCACTATTATGTATACCCTAGCTTTTTTTGCACTAGTACTCGTAACTTTCTTTGTTATATATTTAGCTTGATTTTAAGAGAAGACTGGAAATTTGTGCCACTAGTTTTATTAAAATTATTTATTTATGTTTTTTGTTGAAATTATGTACTGAATTGTTGCTTTTTAAAGTTATATATCTTAAACGTTAAATTTTTGCATGTTATATTTATGCTGTGTAACTGATATAATAAATATTTGAAGATTTCATAGTTTTTTATTCCACATCAGTCTACGTCAGGCTCACATTAAAAATTTGAAATGATGAAGAAACGGGGGGAAAACGTATAAAAAAATGGTAATTGGACCACAGTAAAAATAATTTTGGTATAATATATCTTTATTCTTTGTATAAATTGACAGGTATACTTTATAATACATACTTAGTGCATTTGAAATATTTTTTTTTTCATTGGTATACTGTGGAATGTTAATGACGACGTAAACGAATAACTTGTCATGAATCATTTGTTTCAACAGTTGAGCGATAAAATTTTACTTAAACATTAACTTTTCAACATCAACAATGAATTTAAGAACGAATTCTTAAACAGTTTTTTTAGTAAGTTAATAAAACCTTCAAGAACTTAGTTTGTAACTATTTTTCTGGTTTGTGGTCTTCATATAGGCAACGATTTCCTTATAAGCTTGGAGTTTTCCATTACAAGCATGGGGCGGCCCACCATAAGTGTCTCCCAATTTTTTTCATTATTGTTCAAGCTAAACAACGTGTAAGGATAAAAATTGCATGAACTTTATTATTGAAAAATCACGTACGTAAAAGTGAAAACGCCCAACATGGATTAGAGTTCAGACTTTACAGTGAGTACAATACCTGATGCTCCTTTGTTTAACGATGTCATGGTATTGTTAGACTAATTAGAAGTAATTGAAGTGAACGCATCCTTAATTTAACAATTAAGGCAATTATTACAAGATTAATTATGTTGTAAAACATGTCCCACCAGGAATGGATATTTCGGAAAGTACTGATCCGAAAAATCTGAAAATTTGGCAATCTAGTAAAGGCAGTAGGGTCAACACAGCTAAAATATTTACAATTGTATGGCATTTCCAGTTATACTGGAAGTCAACTTTAACTTTCTTGTTTTAAACGGGACACCCTATATATTGTATTTTCGGATTCTAGGTGAAATTTGAGGGTCACTAGTAAATATTCCCTATACCTAACAGTTATAGATTTTGAGATATTAGTTTTTAAAGAAAAAATTTGACGTATGCAAGGGTCTACGGAGATGCTAGTAACTATTTTCAGGAGTGTGATGTCAAGTGGATTTTTGGTAGTTGTAAAGGGCGTAGGAAACACTTCAAACAGCTAAAACTTTGTTAACTTAAATGGAACACCCTGTATTTTTTTACTCTGTCGAATGCAGATTGAAATTTCCTTTCAAGCCATACAAGCATTGTTAGGGTTGCCGACAGTTTTTCTCGTATTAGACCTGATCATATTGGCCATGACCAGATGCACTCCAAAAACAATTAAAATATCTTGACATTTATTTGTCAAATTATTGTTGTGTCTGTAATAGTTATTTATGGACAATGTGCAAAACAACAAATTCTCTACATGTTCTTGAAATTACTTTGTCACATGTCCATAAATAACAAACAAATTAAAATGAACCTCATTAGTATAATTTAAACATTCCCCAGCCACTTTTATTTAAATTTTCGGCAAAAATTATTACAAACATAACTATAATTTGACAACTAACTTGACAAATGTCATGTTATTTCAATTGTTTTTGGAGTATTTCTGGTCATGGCCAATTTGATAACAAGTCTGATACGAGAAAAATCGTCCAAAAAATTGAAAATTGCGAATATCTCTGAAAGTAGTAAAGGCAACCCTAACAACGCTTATATGGCTTGAAAGGAAATTTGAATCTGCACACGACAGCAAAAAAATACAGGGTGTTCCATTTAAGTTAACAAAGCTGTTTGAAGTTATCAAAATGTAACAGCAAAAATGAAACACCTAGTATTAAATGTTTTAATTTGTTGGTATACCATAATTTAGTGTTACTTATGCCCTTTACAGGTACCAAAAATCCACTTGATATTACGCTCCTCAAAAGACTTACTAGCATCTCCGCGAACCCTTGCATCTGTCAAATTTTTTCTTTAAAAATTAACATCTCAAAATCTATAACTCCTAGATGTAGGGAATATTTAATAATGTGACCCTCAAACTTCCCGTAGAAGCCGAAAATCCAATAATATACAGGGTGTTCCATTTAAAATAAGAAAGTTAATGTCGCCTTCCAGTATAATCAGAAGTGCCATAAAATTCTAAATGTTTTGGCTGCCTTTGCTAGGTTGCCAAATTTTTAGATTTAACGGCTCAGTACTTTCCGAGATATCGATAGTGGCTATTCCTAGTGGGACACCCTATATGTAATTGTAGTGTATATGTACTTATAGTAGGATCATATTCGATGCAAAGTAATAAATCATTGCCTGTCAAGGGATCCAATGTCATACACTTTTAAGGGTTTTAGAAATTGAATAATTTCTTTATATATTATGAAGGGACGAAGGGATCAGTTCACGTCTGGCGCCCTTGTTCCTACAAAAATTCCTTTATTCTCATAAACTATTTATTTTAAATGTAATTTATTATAAATCCAATTTGTTTTTTAATTTCCACATATGTACTACAATTTACTCTAAATTAAAGTTCTTTGTTTGTTTAAAGTTTTTTTTGTTCTTATGCTGTGACCGATGTACCTGGTCGCCGCCAATTACAGACTTGCCCTTGTCCTCAGGCTATTAGATTCCGTAAATGCACTAGATCTAGTGGACTTAGCTGCTTCTGAAGTTTTTTGAAGTGGAACGTCTACTTTGTACAAAGGACATTACGAGAAATTGTTGAAGCATAAAGTATACAGTCACTAACTTGTAATAAATTTGGTATGTTTCAAACAATATTTTTTTTAAACGACAGATTTTTTGTGCATTTTTGAAGGAATAAAGTAAAGTCATCATCACTAAATTCCGCAAACATTTATTCCTAAGCCTTTACAAAATACAGATAGTTAGGGATTATTCTTTGCAATTCTTGCGTAATTTTAAAAAATTATTCAATTAATTTGGTACTTTAGAAAAAAATTTACAGTTGTTTATGGAAATGTACACATCACAAACTTCATATCACTTATAACCTCAACAGAACGTTTTATCTACATGCAATAATATATTCTGAAAATTAAACTTAAAAAAGTCTAAAGTTTCAAGCAAATTTTATCCTTACACTTCTTTCCGAACGTTGCAGTGTACTGGAGACGCTTATTGCGGAAGCACCCTGTACAGTTTGCAAAAATATCTGCCTCATTTTAAGTGTCTTCTATGAGACGTGTACATTTATTTTATATATTTTTAAAGTCTGCTCTCTAATAATAACAAAAAAGTACTATGAAGCTAAAAAAAGTAAATACTAACGACTATTCAAATATTGCACAAATTGAAAAAAAAAACAGTTGTCAACATGACGAATTAACTCGTAACACACTGTTTAATATTTAATAACAGTTACAATAATTAAATAATGATCATTACTAGCTACAATGGTAAAATGAAATTTTATAAAATGATTAAGAAAAATAAATTATAAATTAGTTACCTCAACCAATGAATTTAACTAAGTCAAACATCGTCAAATATACCCCTAGGAGGAACACCTACTCTAGTTCTATAATTATTGTTTAGCTGATAACTATCCGAAAATCTAGGTTCCAATTCATTAGAGCTGTCGTATCTTTCATTAAATCCGGTGCTGGCGCCGAATCGAGCATCGATATCGTCGTCGGGCGGGAAACGAGTATCGATGTCATCGTTCGAAAACTTCGTGCCGTTATAGGATTCCAACCCGTGAGAATCTCTTAGGACCGATCTAGTGTTCTCTGAACTGTCCAGTTGTTGCATGGGCCTTACTGCAAATAAATAACGATTGTTTAAGATGAAACCTAAAAATGTGAAGAAAAGATTACGAATGTACGACTTACTTGTGTCTGTACTGCTTCTTTGTCTATATCGGCCCATATTTGGATACCGATCTTGCAAGTCCTTTCTCCTGCTAGTAGATTCCTCGGCACGTTGCCTCTTGCGTTTTTCTAAAATTTACAAAACAAGAATTTGAGCCAGTTTGTTTTTACAAACTCTTTAAAAAATACTATTTTTATTTTACATCTAAAATAATATAGCTCAGTATATGACGGTTTTTAGGTCCCAATTCTTGACACAGTATTGATAATTTTTTGTCAATTATCGTAGATGTAATAATAACCGAGTTATCACTCTCTAAAGGTGATTGTTTTTTTTTCAGAAAGTAAAATGGAACCATTTACCGTAAAATAATGGTGAAAGAACTAATTTTTCGAAGAAAATGAATATAAACTTTTTTAAAGGGCTTGGAAAGACCTTTAAAATGCTTTTTGAAAAAATTATGAAAATAAAATGGTCATCTCATTTTTTCGGAGAAAAAATCGACAATAAAATCTGGCTGAACCATAAAAATAGAAACTAAGCATAATCCATGTACAGTTGACTTTATTTAGGTACTAATAAATAGGCTCTGCAAGTTTGACAGGTTTAGAATGCCTAAATTTAAAAAAAAGTTTGAAATTATGAAAAATTTTTTTTTTATTTTTAAAAATTTCCTTTTTTTAGAAATTCAAAAACTAAACAAGATACGTGAAAAATGCAAGAGTTCAAAATTAAAGTTCTTTTTTTAAAATATTTTTGCTCTCTTTCAATTTTTCTGTAGAGCAAAAATTAAGTGAGATATTATGTTTTTTAGTTTGAATTTGCGTGTAAGGACCACCTTCTTTGAACCCTTAAAACCTAAAAATCTCGAAAACGAAGAGTTCAAAACCCTTCAACTATAAAGGTTAAACTGTAACTCTTGCAATTCCCTGCAAATTGCTTTTTGGAGCAATGAAAAATATTATTGTATTATTCAATGAAAATTGTCCGATTGTGTAAATGGCTTAATTTCCAATAGTTTCCGAGACGTAATATACGCACAAACACACACACACATATGTCCAAACAGAGGAAGTCGACAGTGATGATAGTTCTTTAGATGATCTGTAAATTTTTGATAATAAAGTATAACTGTATAATACACAAATAATTTTTCCCTTTCCACTAATTACGTAATTTAAGTTTCAAGTTTTAAGTAATCTCGTTGAATTTAGTAATGTATCGTTGAGTGTTTTGAAGGGGTTGAAATGCTGCCATAAATCAAAAATTCTATTGACATAACATTTAAATCTATGGTTTTTACATTTTTTGCAAGGGGTAGTTTTCATCCCCTAGAAACAATAGGCACACATTATGGATATGTAACTTTTGTAAAGGAGGGTCAAATGAGCTTACTCACCAATTATCATGAAAATCGGTGCGCGTGTCAAAAATTCGGAGGTAATACCCTATTTTTACCGTTGTATACTGGACTAATAGTAATATCTTTTAAGCTGCACAGAAAGTTCCAGTCTTTATTTAATATTAAGAATTTTCTAATGTCCGACAATAAAACAACTAAATAATAAAAGACCTTTCTGGAGTAGGTCGTACAAACCCCTGCTCCCCCCTAGCTACGCCCATGAGAATAAATGTAGTTGTTTCCCACAGCATCATTAGTTATACAGTTTATTTTGTTTAGTGTGAAACCAATCATGTTTTTTCATAATAACGACAGATTAGTAGGTACAAAGTGATGTTATGTGCCAGTAGGCATTGTGTGGCAATGACATACTTTGTAGGTTATATCTCACCAACTATTGTATTTGTTGTTTATATCATTATCAAAATGTTTATATGCTTCTGAAAGTGATATCACGAAACGTACCTCTTTTAATTAGATCTCTCCCTTCTTCAACTAAATCTGTAGTCATTTCGTCATCGTCGATAAACTGATGAAAACCTATCATCGACAAAAACCTAGATCCTAGACTAAAATAGGTGGCTAAACAAAATACTAATATGGCCATCGGAAAATAAATATTAAAGCCGTGAGAAATTATACCTATGACATCCATATGTCCCATTATCTGAAAATTTCAAGAACATTACAAAAAATTCTACACTAGATTATCGATAACCGATTACCTGTGTGTAGGAAGTTTCCATTACTTGGCTCTTTATCACGTGGCTGTCCATGTGAATGAGGCCGAGGAAATTTAAGCACAGCGGCGGTGTGAGTCTACTCAACATCATCCCGGAGAATATTAAGCTGTATTCATTGGTTTGGTGATGTGGTGCTAGGTAATACAAGTTTAACACCCTTATTTTAAGTACCGTGGAGTAGGCGCAGTAGCACAGGTATAGGATAACTGCCGTCGAAAGCAACTGAAGCAAAATTTTATTGTTACTATTTTCTATTTCGAGTTTATTAGCTTTACTCTCACCTCGATAGTAAAATAATCGTAATTCTTTTTTGCTACGTTGACAATAACGGCGAATATAGACAGCGGCGGGTATACGTTGAAAAATGTCACTTCCGACCATACCACACAAACGGAGAATACACCAGCGAGAACCGCTAACATTTTCTGTGTATAACCGTAAAGGACACACTTCCAGTACCATTCTGAAAAGGCAGTTTGATATACTGTATGTTTTGAAAGAAAGTGCTTCCGATTTATGCTTATGATTTGTATTTTTTGAAAAACAAATCCAAAAATATCATGATTGTTGCCTTGAAGCAGTGGAGTACTATTTTAATTTGAAAATGCCACCGATACCCTTTATCGCCGCCACTGGAGCATCTAAATTTTAGGAAAAGGCCTCAGATTTTGGACAATGTTTACATAAATACATGTCCCCCATGTCAAATTATTTCACTTACTAGTTTCTAAATTATTTTAAAAAATTAAAAATATTTTTTCAAGTACACCCTGTATCTTTTTAACGAAGCGTTCTAGATAAAAACTTTATATAAAAGACCCCTTAAAATTAATCAAAGAATACGAGGTTCATTTTTGGTCAACGTTTGTGAATCACCCTGTATATTAATTGTGACAAACACATAATTCATTTGAAGAATTAATTGTAATTTTATTACTGCTTCGCAATCTTTTACTAATCACTTTAGGTAGTTTATAACTACTTTAAGGTAATAAAAATATGTTACTTGTATGAGACGTTTGCGTTTATACAACGTTATCGAGATTCTCAAATAAAAGGTTCTAAGTTTCTCTAATAATTGTTATCATTGCATTTTACATCAAGATGTACGTATTAAAATGTTGACACATCTTATTTCGACACTAAAAATCTGTTACAGTTTCATACGCAGATTATTAAATTAACATAATAACAGAGTAAACAATATGAATATGAATCTTATCAGATTCAACAGAAAAAAATTGGTTAATTTCGTCTCCCAATATGGAGAATTACACTGCGTTTTGTTTAGATACAATTAATTTTTAACAATTAAGTTATTATCAACTATTTCGTATATACCAGCAATTTTTGTATTGATCGCTAATATTAGTTGAACGTTAAAAATTTGCGATACCTTTTGAATAAAGATTGTGTTTTCGTAACACACCAGAATATCAATATCTTACCTACTGTGGATGTGTACACAAATCTTGTAAACCAATTTCGCTCCCTGTGGAAAGTTCTCATAAACCTTTTATCGCTGCTAATTTGATTTTTAAGAACATCCTCCAACTCGAAAATGCGTTTCACCATAATATTCCATTGCGTTTCAGTTCTCTGAAGAACTTGCAATGACTTAATAGTCTAAAATAAACAAGAAAAAGTGAAAACTAGTTTCAGAGTAAAGAACGTATAGAATTATTATTCACACTTACTTGTTTATGCAGCCTGACTAGCGCTTTTTCCGATGGCAGGTCTGTCGGCGTATCGTCGGGCAACTGCCTACGATTCATCCTATCTCTTAACTCCGTCGGTACTTTTTGCAATATAGTTTCCAAGTGTTGATGCAGAACGTGACCTGGTCTTATAGCGAGAGATATAGCTTGTAGAGACTGCAAAAGAATTACAAGAATATATGTTTATTCAAATAAAACCAGTTACCTCTAAAACGTCATCCACAGTTTCTTCCGCTTCGCATTTATCCGAACTTAGTTTAGCTGCCTTGAAATAGGAGTGAGTTAACACATAACCGACATTCGAATTGTGCCACAATCTTCTAGGAACCTCCACAAGTGCATACCCCAACAATAACACTAACAGGAACAAACCCCAAGTATTACTAGCAGAGGAAGCGATAGCTTTCAACTTTGGCCTAAAATTCATTCATTCAATGTTCTGTAAACTATTATATTTAATATAGTTACCAATCCAAGTCTATTCCAGGTTTAAGAGCTAGATAAATAAGCAACACCCCGCAAATGAGCAAGTAAGATCCGTAATAAATAGCGTTGTCTATTAAAGCGGATTTTAGTTTTCCTTTTACAGAGAAATCACCCGCTTTTATGTAAGATTGCATCATTGGCATTATAAGCCTGAAAATTATAACTAATTAATTATATATAAATAAAGAACTAAATAACATTTTTCTCAATCGTAAAACTTGAAGTATATTACCAAGTCAAGCACTGGGTACTCCAATAAACGGTGCGCCATAGATTAGGAAAAACTCTCTTTGGTACATTACTCCAAGGTTCTTCACATCTAGGAATAGGACTTGCAAACGTTATATTTGGAGAAGTTACATTAGAGGTCGTTACATTTTCATGGTTTTCTTCTTGACATTGACGATACACAGTCTACAATGTGTTAAAATAAAAACACAAAAATTTTAATAATCAATCAATTATAATGAGATGAAATACATTTTAATATACTCACGGAAATAACATCGAGGGGTAAAGCGAATATGATTAAGAAACTACAGTACCAAGCTAACAATACAATTAACGTAACGAAGATGCGATGTCTGAACCAGTTTCCATAGCGATACAATACTGTAGAAGCTAGTATGAAAGAAACCAAAATTTTCGAAACCAGAGGTGCGTAACTCATGTTTACCACAAAATGTTTCACTCAACGTTCATTTATCAATATTAACTTGTTCTCTTGCTTTTTCTGCTTCTTGTTGCATTTTCTCTAGTTTCTGCAAAGTAAAACTTTTGAGGGGAATCAGACGAGGTTTACACAGTACAAGTTCAGGTACATCTTCGATCATAATCTGTCCATTTTTCTTCAAAATTGGTTTTAAATCAGTATTAGTGTTAGACATCACTGATATTTTTAAATGTACATCTTTCAATCACATGACAATTTTTTTCTTTTAAATAAATAATCAACGTGTTTTTTTGCCAAGAGTATTTAGATTAGTATCTCATCATCACACAACCATTAACCAACAACGAACAAACTTATGACAAATGACAAATATGATATGACGTTTGACGTGAATTGACGTAAACGTAAATATCCAAAAGTATGCGTGCGTTCCGTAATTGCCTCAGTAAAACGTAATAAAATTTTTATTGAGGAGTTGGGGTTGGCGGCCGTGCTATGTGGTGTAGTGTAGGTGTAGACATAAGAGTATACTCTTATTAGAGATGGGCTAAACTGCTCTTTTTGCGGAGCAGTGACACCTGCTACTGCTCCGGCAACAGAGCAGTGACAAATAGCTGCGATTTTTCGGAACAGCTCCTGGTAGCGCGCGCATACATTCCTACCGTGATATGTTCCCTTATTTTCGCGTCAAAGTTCATAAATCGACACCTGTCGTGCTTAATAGCGGCTAGCGTTAGGGAATAGGGATACTTTCGTCATGCGCTGTTTTTCAAGCATGTGCCAATTTTCGTAGATTTAGCTCAATTTGTTATTTCGCTTTTGCATTATTTATTTGAATTTGATATAGCGTTATCTGTTATTTTGTCCTAAGTTATTACTGATAAATTTTTATTACAAATAAAATTGGACATGGATAAACGAAGAAAATCTTTCCTGTGGAATTTATTTTTACCAACGCATGAAAGTAAAGCTTGTTGTAATATATGCAAGCAAAATATTTGTTATAAATCTTCAATCACCAATTTAAAAAGACACATAGAACGACGACATCCTACAGTGAGTACAGTGCCAGATATTCCGTTGCGAGTGCAACAAAAACAAATGAAGAACAGTCGCATGTTTTTTGCTTAGTCTAAGTTTTAAGTGATTTTGTAAACAAAACTTTTAAAATATTTGTAGAGCAGCAACCAGCAATACACACATTGCTCTAGTCGCTGAAATACAATGTCTTTAAATCAAACGCGACTGTATTATATGTTTAGTGTGTGACACTGTGACTAATTCAAAATTCAAGCACAGTTCGTAACGGCTGAGCGAGAGTCTGCTCTGCTGTGGCCGGCACGCCTGAGCTATGTCTCTGGCGCTAGTAAATTGCACTTTGCAGTAAACGCTCCGAAAAATCACTGCTTCTTTTGTCGCAGCGGAACAGTCAGCTCCAGTGACAACTGCGGAACAGTGCCAAAGTAGCAGACAGTGAAAGAGCAACACATCTCTAACTCTTATTGGTGTAGGTTTTTGATCGAACAGGAATAGGAATACTTACCGTGAATGTTTTGGGGGTATTTATAGGTTAGAAAAAGGAGAAAAGGGAAAATTAAATTAACTAATGTGTCATGTAAACAGCATATTTGGTAATTTGAAGAGTTACATCTAAACTCTAATTAAATGGATGTATCAGTGCACAAAACATATAATGTATATATAATATCAGTGTAAAAAGTACAGCAACATCTAACAAATGTTTCACAAATTTGATAATATTTTGATTTGTTTTGATTACTAGTAATGGATTCGGAAGTACACACTTCGGATTCAAATAGTAAAAGGTTCAATGTAGAAGATTTAAACATTGAAATTCTTCCTGTCATTTACGAAATTATTAGAAGGTTTGCAATATGAACATTTAATAAAAATATGTCAAATTATATAATTCATAAAATTTTAGTGTTGAAAAAGACAACCATCACGATAACGCAGTGAAAACACGAGATTCTCAAGACTGTTCCCAAAAAGTTTTGGAGCTACAGAAGAGACTAGATCAAGCTCGAGCCGAGGTAATAAAATATCTGCGGTTAAGATAATTCTGTAAATTGCAAATGTTATTTGTGGCACTACAGAAATCTTTATAATTCTAATTTTAGATACGAATGCTTCCTGGTATCGACTACAGCAAAGAGCAGCAGCTTAATCACTTAGAAGCCCTGAAGACACAACTTCGATTGAAACAGGAATTACTACAAAAATACCGTTATATGTATCCGTTCGATATCCAAAAGCAATAAGGAGTACATCATGGTATTGCAATTCCTCATTCGTATTTTGGCCAACAACGAACACTTAGTGCAACGTCTCAGTGAATCGTATCCTATGCGAAAGGCTGCCCAGGTTATCGTCAGGGCCGTATTTTCAGGGAAAAACTTTATAGAAGAAAGGAAGTTGCACGAGAAGCTGACTCCGGAACAATTTCGAGCATTGATGAATGAAGTAGCAGCTAATTTTCAGAACAAGATTAAACAAGCGCACGAGAGTATTAAAGGGAAAATGAAATAATAGTAGTATATAATTAAACTGAAATATATTGGGCTATTTTAGTAATAAATGGATATTTAATTTCACTGGATATTTTCATGATAGAATCTGAAACTTAACAGATACTAATAGAGAGGTTGTAAGTAGTACATATTTGTATGTATTATTTTCTTTAAAAAAAAATCATTTCTAAGAATTTGTTTTTGATTTGTCGTTATTAAGTAATAAAATATAAAGGAAATGTTTTTTTTTATCTTAAACAGTTAAGAGTCATCGACTCGGAGTAGATTTCTTAAGGTTCCAGACTAGATACAAGGCAACTCGGTCTTGCCCATTTGCATACCCCGCTCACCGCAAGTCGCATAGGAAAAGTATTGAGGATGTACCGATTTCCGTTATGTCTTCCATTTCTCCTTGTCAGGTGTCTCGTAGTTTAATCGTATCTGAACGTAAGCATTTATGTAAAATTTATTTCAATGGAGAATTAGACATAGAAAACTACTATAGGCGGGGATCTCATTAATATAATTATAATATAAATGGTCGATTAGCTCCTAACGTAAGACACAAACGTTTTAGGGTTTTTTTAAATCTATTACAATAATAAAAAATTAAGTAGACAGTTCTTTAATGGAACACCCTGTTTATTATTCCGCATTTCAATTCTCGAAATTCTAAATAAAATTCATATAGCACATCATATACTTAAACTCAACAGTTTTCATGGTTTCAACATGATGGGGCTGCTCCACGTGTTGGAAGTGTGGTACAGGCATATCTAGATGATACTTTTCCTGATAAATGAATTGGATGCAGAGAAGCAACTGAATGGCCAGCTTGGTCTCTCGATATGACCCTGTTTGACTTTACTTTGTGGGGTCATATAGAAAATGTAGTCTATACAAAAATGAGCCTTAAAATATCGAAGAGATGCAGGAAAGGATAACGCATGAAATTTCCACAATTCTTCCCAACTCCCTTCACTACAAAATTTTATTCAGCGAATTCATTACTGTCGGGAGCACCTTATAAAGTAGAATTCTGGAAAAAATATTAATTTGTTGTTTATTAAGACTTGTTTTCTTTCTTTTTTTATTCTGACATAACTATCGTTTTCATAAAATTTAAAATATCGACCATTTAAACAACACTTTTGTTAGAAATTTCAAACTTCTGCTATATTAGTTCAGCGGAATTTTCTCAGATTTTTCCGAGTCCTAAAACTTTATAAGAAAATCCATGGACAGACTGTTTTGTCTCAACTTTTTCTTGTAATACATATACAGGGTGTTTATTAAGTACTTGTACAAACTTGAAAGGGTGGATCTTTGACTAATTTTAAGATAATAGTTATAATAATAATAATCTTTATTATTAGCCATTGGCTAGCACATATACAAATATACACAAAAGAACACAAACTTTAATACATTTACTTCTTCAACTAGCACACATATCTATACACCTATAAACTATACATCAATTTTTTGCCTTATATATATTCTGCATGCTTCTTTAAATTGTGATAGCTTATTTGCAGCCCTAATACTTTCAGGTAGTTCGTTATATTGTTTTAATCCTCTATAAAATAAGCTATTCTGACTAAAGTTGGTAGAAACCCTATTTAAATAAAAGTTGTTCCGTGTACGCGTATTATGCTCATGTATATCTCTGACAAATTTACAGTTTTGGAGAAGATGTTCAGGTACCAATTTATGCAGCATTTTATAAATAAATATCAAAGTGTTATATGTTATAGTTTGCCTCACACTTAAAATATTGGTTGCATTCAGCATATCACTTATCCTGGTATACTTATTACATCCTAAAATCATACGTAATATTTTATTCTGTTTTTTCTGTAGAGTGTCTAATTGGGTATTATTCATTAAAAACAATATCGTGGAACAGAAATATAAGTGTGGAGCAATGATTGTTTTGTAAATAGTGAACTTAGCCCAGCAACTTAGGTCTCGTGACATACGCCCTAATATATTACTTTTTTTGGCAAATTTACTTGTAATAAATTTGTAATGTTCTGAAAAGGACAAATTTTCATCAATTACACATCCCAAGTATTTAAAATGAACTACCCTTTCAATAATTTCATTATTAATTTTAACATTATTTGTTGTAACAGGTAATTTACTATTTTTGTTCTTTATAATCATCATTTTTGTTTTACTTATATTGAGTTTAAGAGAGTTGTTATTTAACCATTCCAATAAATTCTTAATTTCCTCATTTAACGTTTGAATTATTTCCTCTATCTTATCACCTATCATATATATTACAGTATCATCAGCAAATAATTGAATTTTACACTTTTTCACAGCCTCAATAATGTCATTTATGTACAGAATAAAAAGAGTAGGTCCCAACACAGTTCCTTGTGGTACACCATTGGTTGTCTTTATAGCACCTGAGACGTTACCATATTTAGTCACTTGGGCCCGATCAGTTAAGTACTCCTTAAACCATCTGAGAATGGGAGGTCCGAAGCCATATCTTTCCATCTTGTATAACAGTAATTGTCTGTCTATTGTCTCGAATGCACGCTTAAAGTCTAAGAATAGTACGCCAATAAAATGACGGTCCTCCAAAGCCCCTTTCCAGTTCAACAACACAGACTGTAAAGCGCTTTCACATGAATTTTTATGTCTAAACCCTGCTTGGTAGTCACTAAAAATATTATTTCCTTCCATATATTTTACTATTTGATCATTTACACATATTTCAAGAAGTTTTTCATAAGGTGGTACCATATTAATGGGTCTAAATTCTTCACATTTTATAGTGCCCTTAATTTTCTCAATTGGAATGACCATACTACTCTTCCAATTTCTTGGAAAACTTCCACTCTCTAAGCTGCTATTAACTAAGTTGAGAAATTTATCTCCAATCGTTTCAAATGCATTCTTTAATATTTGAACTGTTATGCCATCCACATTGCTTTCTTTATTTTTCATATTTTTAACTATTTTCCTTAAATCTGACATTTCTAATAGATCAAACTTATCCATTTTATATTCAACCTTTATATTGTTAACAATTTCATTTGGTGCCCTGTTTGGAATTATATTTTGTACAATTTCCTTAACACTGTCTAGAAAAAACATATTAAAATGTTCACTTATTTCCTTTCCTACGGATCTTTTCTTATTAAATATTATTTCAGATTTAGTTCCCTCACTTTCTTTTACACTAATTAGTTTTTTTAATGTTTTCCACATTTCTGATGGTTTATCTCTTAAATTGTCAATCTTTTCATTAAAATACTTACTCTTTGCATTTCGGATTATTGTTACAACAACGTTTCTTTGGTGTTTAAATTATTTCCAGTCGTCGTCATTCCCCGTCAGAACAGCCCTTCTATAAAGGCGATCTCTTTCTTTTATTTCATTGCTTATCTCTACATTCCACCAAATCTTATCTCCCCAAACTGGTTAAGTGTACATATGATATTATCTATCAAACAATCTGCTAAACTATTTATGTCCGTAGAATTTATTGGCCATGTCTTCTCCATTAATTTATGTTGGAACCCTTCTATATCCATAGTTTTGTAGTTTCTAATAACTTTCGTTACAAGTTTTTCCTTGTGTTTGTTTTTGAGATCAACTTCAATAATTGAGTGATCCGTAATTTTAGGAGTTAACAATACCTCATACTTAATGTTCTTTTGGTTTGTCAGAAGGAGATCAATTATTGTTGCTGATGTCTTCGTTATTCGCGTACACTGATCAATCAACTGGTAGAGGCCATGTGAGGCAATCAAGTCATTAAATTTACTAGCATAAAAGTGGTTACTTGCTAAATCTATATTGAAATCACCCAATACTAAAGTAACTGCATCCTGAGTTATATTTTCCAAAAAATCATCAAGTCTATAATAAGTTAATCAAGTCTATAATAAGTTAATATGAACATGCAGGGTTCATAGTTCAAAAGTAGTAAGGGATTTCCCGACTTTTCCAGGTTTTCTCTGACTTATAAAAAGAAACCAGGCCACTTGTACTTCATTTTTACATACTAATTGGTGTTTATGCATTAACCTTTTTCTCGACTGGACTCCATAATCTTTTTTATACTCAAAGAACCTATTGTAAAGGTTTCAAAACTACAAATAGTTTTCACTTTCAAGAACCCGGTTTTCACAAAATTTCCACTTGCAAACATCAAATTCCCTGACTCATGAATATTTTTAAAATATCCTGACTATTCCCTCTTTTTTATGAAGAATTCCCTGACTTTTCCGGCCGCTACGAACTCTGACAAAGGTCGCAAAGCTTGGTTCTTGATATAGATAGAGCATCCAAAAAAAAAATTTTTGTTTGGTATTTTGATTATATTTTTGTTTAATAACATGGCAATTTGACGGGATTCGGGGAAATGAGTATTGATGATGAGAAAACTCAAATATTTACTTAGTTTTGTGTTTAATGTAAGAGGGCGCCACATACAGTCTTGTAGCTGGATTTAAATAACCATAACTGTTTTGAGTCACACTGTATGTCATTTTTGACTAAACATACCTATTCTCCATTAAATTTTACATACATATGGTACTCTATTATTTGTCGCTGAAAGCAGTCGTTTTGTAAAAAAATATATTTAAGTTGAATCTGCGTTGGAATTTTTTAAGTTGAATCATTAAGTTTTTGAAAAACAAGTGAAAAAGAGTCATGTGCATTGTAAAATTTTTTGAAAATCACAGAAAAAGGTTATGATTAATTTTCGAGTTAACAAACCTAACTGTTACCAATGATAAGTATACCAGATCTGAAAAAATCGCTTAAATGCATAATAGTCCAGGCAGTATCTGTTTCGGGTTGGGTAAAATGCATATGATCGGAAATTTTTGCTTTAACGGCTTCTAAATAACATCAGAAATGATAATTTGTCTATGCAAATAAAAAAAAACGTGGGCTTAATTGTTAATGCAAAAAAGTATAAAAAAATAGCAAAAAATTTATCTAAAATTTATTTTTTATTTATATAAAAAAGTATAAGAATCTTTTGGATACTTGAATAAGCAGTACACACTTTTCATGATTTTTCAAATTTTAAACTATTTTAATTTTTATTTACATATTTAAATATTTTAAAAGTAAACGAAAAAATTTAAATTATAATTATTCACAATTTATGTGAGTAATCATTTCTGAAAGACTTTTAGAAATTTATCGTACAACTAAAAATTAATACCAATCTTCAGTTGTTTATTTAAATAATTATTGTTTAAACAATTTTATAATATTTAAACAAACTTACTGTATTACCTGGTACATAGTAAACATAATAAATTAATCATTTTTTAAAGTAACTGTTTATCGGCATATCAAAAGTTCAATAATTAATAATAAAAGGTAGTTGAAAATATGATAATTGAATTTTTTAAGTTGCAAGACATCGATTTGAAAAAAAAATCATTGAAACTGGTCCATTAGAAACTGAGATAAGTGAAATTTTTCCGAGCATCGCAGTTTCGAACTTGAAAATTCAGATCGGAGTAGCTGTGTGGTTGCTCCCCCCTCCACTGATACCTCATTGATTTCACGCGATCGTGAATATCTTTGAGTGACATTTTAAATGGGATGCTCATGATTGCTAATTTTGAAAATTTATATCTGGAAAGTACTCGGAATGACAAACCTATTAGTTCAAAAAACAGCCCTTATACCCTTACAGTGTTGCTGTAAATAAGGGTTAACTTTAACGGGCTATAACTCCGAAAATAATTGGCGGATCATCAGGTTTTTTTTTAAATACTCGTCTTTCCGAGTACTTTCAAACCATATTTAAAAAAAATAAAAAATTGAAAAAAACAGTAAATTATTGCAATTATTTGTAAGCGTGAAAATTGCGAAAATGTTTAAACAATCTCCACCTAATCGTCCGATTTGAATTTTTCAAAAACCATTTTAAAGCTTGAGAGCTCTTCTTTTTGTGGTGAAACTTTCAAGTATTCAAAGGCTTTAGATTTTTAGAAATTTGATTTTGAAAATTTTTTTATTTAAAAAAATAAAAAAATTTAAACAATTATGTAAAAACTATCAAATCGAATTGAATGAAATTTGGTGTGATGATTCTATGCACTAAAAAGTTTAATTGGGAAAAGTATGAAGATCCTAGGTATTATTCAAGTGTCTGAAAAAAATTGACAAATAAACTAGCATTTTTTGCAATTTTCCAAATGATTTTTCCGATTTTTGCAATAACAATAATTATTTTTTCGAATTGCAACTAACTCTATCTTGTTCAAAATTTAATTACAACTTTTTCTCTCTTCCATTTTTGTCTAAAATGAATAGTTGCTGTCAACGAGAAATCCAATATACTTTTTTGCAATACCAAGCCCACGTTTTTTTTATTTGCATAGAAATATTATCATTTCTGATGTTATTTAGAAGCCGTTAAAGCAAAAATCTCCGATCATATGCGTTTTACCCAAGTACACCCTTTTTAAAACAGATACCGCCTGGACTATAAAGTTGTCGGCAAAATTCAGATTAAACAAAAAATTCAACTCCCTTACTGATTAATATCGAGTTGTTCACCAGTTTGACAGAACTTATTCCATTAATTTTGCGACTAGGATCTCCTCCTAGATTTTTTACTCGTAGTTTTAGGACACCCTGTATTTTTATTCTATCACTTGCGATTTGAGCACAACAATTTCAATGTTCCGGCGTCTACGCTTCATCCACTCGTGATAAGGTTAATAAAAACTACCCTGTGTACATATATATTTATTTTCATAAATATGTAACAAAATTAACTTACTTTTAGATTAGTATCACTATTCTGGAGAAGTTACTATTTAAAAAGAGAAAGTGAAATAATTTATTAACATCGTTTTTAACATTAACGTTAAACGTTTCATGTATGAATCTGTTTATTGCACTTTTGTCGGATTTCGAACTGATATTGATGAGATATTCGTTACGTCGGGTAACGGCTTTGAAATATTTGTACTGGTGGTGGTTATGTTGGCCTTGCCTCGACCCCCTCGACGGTTCCTGCCCTTCTTATGGCCGGACTTTTGGGGCACCAAATCGCGTTTGTCCTTACTTCCTTCAAATGTGTTTTCGATTTCTGAAAACTGCCAGGGATGGTATGTAAGTACGAGTTGTCGCTATCATACTGGAGTCGGTAAAGACTAGTTCACAGAATGAATATAAATCAAATTTTTGAGAAGGAATATCTCATTTCTTAAAAAAATTAAGATATACAGCGTATTTCAATATTTCTTGTATGTGGAACTGCTACTAAATTTAAAATGAACAAAAAAGTCGTATATTACTAGGTATTAACAGTTTTTAAAACGTGTATCTGAACATTTTACTTACACCTTGCATATTGTGTTCGTTTTTATTCTCTTGGCCTATTTTCTGTGTATTTTGTGCAGAACCATGCCTCTGCTGTTTATTTTGTTTCACGCGATTTCCTTGATGCGTTAGCGTAGACTGCGTGATAATCCTCACAACGTTACCCACAGCTTTTGTTCTGCCCTAAAAGTTTCACATACGGATAATGTACGTTTCCCTTAAGATCAAGGAAGAGACGTATTACCTCTCTAAAAACCATCCTTTGTCCAGAAGTCATGTATTCCGGGTGTTTGATGAAACGGAAATGTATTAATGCCTTGTCACCCGTCCTCAGACAATCCTTCGACATGCTTATGATGCTCGCTGTCTGCCTTATACTACCACAATGAACTAAAAATAAATAAATAAAGAAAAAAATTATGTTTTTAAATATACAGAGTGTTTCACATAAGAACCGATACAGAGCAGAGAAAAATCAATATCTCAGTTATACTTGAACTTAAACCAAATAGAAAAATCAAATTTTGTATATACACGGTGTAAGTGTACCAAGAGTATTAATCGACAGTAAGAATTCAATAGAAGCATTTTAAACGCTTGATATGGGATGCTGCACCATTAAAATGTGACAGAACTTTTTAACCCGCTGGCGGACTTAAAAAATTATTACTTTATTTTACGGGGATTTTAATTCTAAAACTTTTCTTACTCTTGTTAGTTTTCAAAAAACTTTGTCGTTTTCAACAAAAACACGAATAACTAATAATACGTATTGTAGCTGTTATTTAAAATCATCGAAAATTTAAAAGTTGGCTATGAATTTAAACGACAAACTTGACGATCAGGAAAAAGTCATTTAATTTTAGTAATTCTCATTACTGATGAAGCTTGTTTTACCCGCAGAGGTATTACAAATTTACATAACTATCAGGAGTATTCCGATCTAAACGTCATTCAGTAACTCCTTGACATTTCCAAAGCGATTTTAAAATAAATGTTTGGATCGATGTTATTGATCGGTATTTAATTGGTCCAGCTATTTTACTGAATCGACTAAATGGCGAAACTTATTTAGAATTTCTCCAAAACACTCTCCCGGATCTACTTGACGAGGTGCCACTACAACTCAAGACTGGAACATCGGTTTATGCATGATGGAGCACCCTCTCACTTTAGTAATATTGTTAGAGACTTTTTAAACCATCAGTATCCAAATAAATGAATTGGAAGAGGAAATAATTGCCCACAAGTTTGGCCTCCACGACCACCAGACCTCAACAAATGTGACTTCTTTAGTTGGGAATCGTTAAAAGAATTTGTGTATTCCTCGCCAGTTGCATCTTGAGTAGAATTGTGGAATCGCGTTACGGATAAATGCACATTCATTAGAAACAATCGGCAGTTATTGGATAGAGTAGTATTCTATTTCAACTTTTTTCCAATCGTCAAGTTTGACGTTTCAAATTCATAGTCAACTTTTAAATTTCCGACGATTTTAAAGAACAGCTACAATACGTATTATTAGTTATTCGTGTTTTTGTTGAAAACCACAAAAGTTTTTAGATTAACTAACAAGAGTAAGAAAAGTTTAGAATTAAATTATTGTCCATAAAATAAAGTAATATTTTTTTAAGTCTGCCAGCGAGTTATATAGTTCTGTCACATTTTAATGGTGCATAATCCCATATCAACGCTTTAAAATGGTTCAATTGAACTATTCTTACTGTCGAATAATGCTCTTGGTTCACTAACACCATATGAGTAACTTACTCATATGACTAACAACGTGTACCAAATTTGGTTTTTCTAAGTTCAAATATAACCGAGATGTTAATTTTTTTTCTAAATTTGAAACCCACTTTCAAGCTCTATAATTTCTCAAGGGTGCAACTTAGTATGAAGGTAAGCTACGTTAAATCACCATATTTTGTGTTCCCCTACACACCCCTGCTCTGTGTCAGCTCTTATGCGAAACATCCTGTATAACAATTTCAAAATCAAAAACCGTTTTCACTTTTCAGTCATTTATTTTATTTTAAACACAGCCAAAAGTCCAAAAAATCATTGCCATTTAAATTTTTAACTATCTGAGGCATTGGCAGGAGACAATACAAAAAATAAATAAACAAATAAAAAATTTATATTTTTTTTTCTTTCTTTTCACAGTTATACTGTTTAAGTTCCAAGAAAACATAATAGCGGACAAATGTTTAAGTTCGTTTATTTTTACAAGGTAGCGGTGTGAAACGGTTGCCAGAGGGGGAGTAGCGGTTTGGGAGGGAGAGGCTAACAGTATGGAGGTGTTTAATGACTTGGGAGTTAGCAGATAGGGGGCCGGTTAGCAGTTTTTGAAGCAGTTACCGGTTTTACAGTTTTGGAGACAGTTACCGGTTTAGCAGTATGGGTGCAGTAATCAGTTTTTTGTTTAGATTGTCTGTTTAGAGATGTAACGACTTAGTGACTTCCAAGTTGGTTTGATGGTTGGTTGTTTGGTTGATGGGTTGGTTGTTTCTTGATTTGTTTTTTTCCAAATCTATATTCTTCTAATACAATCAATGTTTAACGATTTAAAATCGTAACAGAATTTTTTACACAATGAACAAGCTCAGCTGAATCCCAGAAGATTTTTTGACTTTTATAAGTGGTTTCTACTATCCCACATTAATTTTCATTATTTTTTAACGCCCCGGGTATAAATAAAGTAATAAAACCGTCTCCCACTTTTGAAATTAATGAATGATTAGCAATTTATTTAGCAGTTACTACTTACCCATGGCTTGATAACGAGAACTGATTGTCGTGGGGTGATGTAAAACCAAAATTTCACCCTCAAATTCCCAACACGCTTGCGGATTTAACGTCGGAGAAACCATTACCATACCTTTCCGAATTTGGGATCTTTTAATCTGGAACACGTAATACATATAATTAAATAAAAAGTATTCAAAGCTTACGCAGTTAATTTTTTTTTGTACCTTTTTCAAAGCAAAACTGGCAGTCTGCCCCGCTCTGACCTCCTTAACGGCCATTCTCTTCCTGTGTATACTTTTGACGGCGATCTGTTGAAAGTGTCCTAAGGGATCAGGACCCAGCATTAGGATATCGTTCAACCTAATAACACCCTTCAAAGTAGTCCCCGACACCACCGTGCCGACTCCCTAAAACAGCATACATTAAAATCAGCGGCATAATAATAAAACTTCGAACCATACAGGTACGGAATAAGTATCGTCGATCTGAAATTCCGCTGGTTCGTTTTCGTGGTACTCCATCCTAGTAGTCAGCAGGTTCAAGAAAGTTTTAAGCAGGTACAAGTTCTCCCCGGTGACATTCGACACCTGAAAGATGGGACACAGTCTGGAAAAGAATCGCCCTTTAAAAAGTAGGCACGGGAATATTGAAGGGTACTAACCTCTCCGATACGAAGTTGGTAGCGCTTAACACCACATCGTCTGGTGTTTTCACCATAACCGGCACCTTCCGACATCCCGGCGACTTCAAAATTCGAATAAGCATCTTCAGGTTGTCCTGCAGCACGTTGGTCGGACACATGTCGATTTTCGTGACCACCACAAAAACCGGCACCGACAGGGCCAGGGCCAAACCAAGATGTTCCTTTGTCATTCCTATAATCCCCGCATTTGCCCCAATCTAAAAAAAAAAGGAAATATAATCCATAAATATATGCAAATAAAACGTGATTGTAATAATGTATTTTTTTTTTTTTTGGATTACTTTTAGTACTTAATGAGATCAAAATGAAAATAGGGGTCTCATATTTTTACTTATTTTCATTTTGTGATATAGTTAAAAAGTTATTTACTTCATATTCTCATGTAACGAAAAAAATGTACACAAAGACTATAAATTATCTTATTTGGATTATTTTTGAGATTTAAAATTATCCAAAAATTTTTCCAAACATACTAACCATTAACATTCCAAAATCAGGAGCGTGGCCGGTCATTCCAAACACAGTAGTCTTTAAATAACGTTCGTGCCCAGCCAAATCGATGAAAGTTATTACTTTGGAACTTTTTTCACAAATTTTTACCCAATCCAAAGACCCATGCTCTGGTTTATTAACAACGTTGCCTAGAAACAGATATTAATGGGACTAAATAACTATTAAAGATATTCAAAATGTGAAACTAATTAAAAAAGTTTATGTACTACAGTGTGTCCCAAAATGCTGGAACAAATTTCTTGTTTTTTTTTCCAGTTTGGATTTTAAAAAATCACTGGAAACAAGTCAATTATTTTGTATTTTTTTTTACCCAGTTTGACAGACAGTACCGACTAAAGATGAATTCAGAGAAATAATAATAATAATAATATCTACTTTTTTGTCATAGTTGTCAAAAAATGAAAAAAATTGTTTTTTATGTCATACTGACAACTATTTTAAACAATCAGTTTCTTCAGGAAGACAAAGAACAGTAAGCGAAAATGACCGTCAAAATGTGATGCTCGCCGTTACTGAAATTCCTTAATCATCCATTAAATCTATCTCGGCCAACTTCAACTTGTCGAAGTCCTCAATTCATAGAACTCTGAAGTCTCAAAAGTGGCATCCTTACAAAGTTAATGTCTTACAAGAACTATGGGCAGATAACACAGACAGAAGATGACAATTCTGCGAGGAAATCAGAAATTTATTTGAAAGACAACCCAACTTAAAAAATCACATAATTTTCACTAACGAAGCAACTTTTTGCTTAAACGTAACCGTGAACAGACAAAATACTAGGTTTTGAAGCCCAGAAATCCGCATTGGATGCAAGAAAAATATACACAACGGCCGAAAAGTGAATGTTTGGGCCAAAATAGTAGGAAATCACATACTGGGACCTTATTTCCTTGAAGGCAATTTGACGGGTGTCATTTATTTGGATTTTTTGCGTTTTCAGCTGATTCCAATCCTGAAATTAATTTTTCCTAACCCTAACGAACATGATATGCCTGCTGGTGATGTCTGGTTCTAACAAAATGGTGCCCCTCCACATTTTTGCCTCGATGTAAGAAATTACCTCAATTAAGTTTTCCCAAATCGATGGATAGGCAGAAAACGGCCGTTTGAATGGCCACCATGCTCCCCTGACTTAATCCCACCAGATTTTTTTATGGGGTTATGTCAAAAGTAAAGTGTATGTGAACAGACCAGACTCTATCGAAGGATTAAAAAATCCTATCAGAGAAGAAGTTCGAAACATAACACCAATTGTTATTCAAAATGTAATTGATAACTTTCAACATCGAATTGGGCATTGTGTGATGGTTAATGGGGGTCACTTTGAACATTTGCTGTAATAACAAAAAAAGTAGTACTAAATATTATTGTTTTCATTTAATTCCTCCATTTTTTAAAGATAATTATTTTGCAGTTTTATTTTTGAACAGATGAAGTAGATATGATGAATTTTCTGGCGTCTTCACACTTTTGTGTGGGTTTAAATTTTAGTAATTTTGAAACAATAAAAAAAGAACATAACTTTAATCAAACACGATTTTGAAAAAATACTTTAACGAATGTTGTACCACATAATAATCAATGTGATTGTATTTACAAAAATTGGAAATATGCCCCACTTCTAAGTTATAATTTTTTTTTACTAACTTTCGTTGTTATTTTATCATTTTTTACTTGTAAATATTTGTTCATTTTGCATCTTCACTGTATTAGTCATCAACACATTTTCAATACATATCAAATTTATTGTTAAAAATCTGGTTTGTTTGATAGCATCAATAAAATAATGTTTTGTTACTTAAGAAACTCGTAATACAATGTTTTTCTTTGATAAAAATAATCACCACTTAACAAAGTTGTCAATATAAATAAATAATAATCATAGTTATTTTGGATTCCTTCCATTCTGTGAATTGTGGCTTGATTAAAATATACTGTTGTGATTACCGTTATGTGAAGAGCATTCAATTAGATAAACTTGATAAGGAACTATTGTTCATATTGTAATATCCCCAAAACATTTCCCGATACAAATCTGAAATGAGCAATTTGATTTGTTTGATAATGAGAACAAAATAATGCTTTATGAGTTCCGAAACTTGCAGTCTTAACGATTACTATTCAGTAAAGGTAATTTTTTGTTGATTGAATTATGTTTCCAAAAATTATGATCATTACAAATGATTTTTGCAAAGAACGTTCAATTATAGATGTCTGAGTTCCATAAAATATTATTTCATTTTTACTCTTTTAGAGATCATATTTTTAAAGACAATTACCTCAGATTTATACTAAAACTTTAATTGGTTAAAGGTCGGCATTATTTTCCTATTAACACTTTAGCTGCGGCAATTGGGCGCTCTGTTAGTACGAGATTATATAAGCTCGGTATGAATTCTACAGTTTAGACAAGTGCATAAACATTTACTTGTACCGGGTGATTTTCTATAATGTCGACCCACCTTAACTTGTTTATTTGTGGCAGTAAAATTTCATAAAAAATGTGAGCTTGTAGGATTTTTTCTGTACTTATCGCACAAGTATTTGAAAATTGATAAAACAATTAGTATACAAGGTAGATCAAAAATTATACTCTTTTTAAATGGGATACATCTGAATTAATTTATTGATTCTTCGTTTAATTCTTTGCTATTTGAAATATTAGCAAATAAAATTTGAAATTTAAAATGTTAAGTTCTTATCTAATAGCAATGGATAAATCAACAAACGTGACACTGATGGTAACTTCATCAAGTAATTCAAAAAGTATTGCTGCAAATTGTTATTAAAAATGCCACACTCGCAAAGAGAAAAACAAATAATTTTAAGTTTGTTTATTCGATACAACTATAATGCCGCAGCAACGCAACGAGACCTAACTCGAGAGAATCCAGAGAAAATTTTGCTCCTTGCAAGAAAACAATTGAAAGGATATTCGAAAAATTTCAACAAACATCAAGTCTGAACAGAAAGAAAAGAATGGAGCAAGATAACGAAGATGCGTAACTTAATATATCACTTTCTGTGCAAGAAAATCCAAATATATCCATGGCATATTTCAAAACGTTTACAAGAGTGGAATGTCCGTGATACGTCCTATTCAAAAGTGCAGAAGACCCTTAAGAAAGCTGGTTACAAGATTTCAAGATCAGACCCACTCCAAAATTGACACAGACGCATAGAGAAAAGAGAGTAGAATTTTGCCACCTTATGATAGAAAAAATTAATGATCCCAACTTTTTAAGAAACATCCCGTGGACAGACGAGTCTACCTTTGCTACGAACGGCATGATAAATAGAAAAAATACCAGGTATTGGGCTACAGAAAACCCACAGAGAATTTAGATTTCAGGAGCGCCAGTCTGTTAACGTTTGGTGCGGACTAATGGATAACAAAATTATTGGACCCTATTTTTTTTATCAAAACTTGAATAAGGGCTCATATTTAAACTTTCTCAAAAACGGCCTAGAAGATATTCTTTGCAGCATTTTGGATATGTCATATTCCAGCAGAATGGAGCTGCCCCACTCCACAGCACCTTAACAGTGAGAAACCACGTAAACCAACGTTTTAACATATGGATTGGTAGAAGAAATTCACCAATTAACTGGCCAGCCAACAGTCCAGATCTTACTCCAATGGATGCATTTCTAAGTATGATTCTTAGAAAATAGCTTTTACCAAACACCTAAAGCAACTAATTAGGAATGAAATAAATGAACTAAATGAAAACCATTCAGATTTTGTAAGAGGATCTTTGGAGAAACTTTGAAGAATATTACTAAAATGCTCGATGCATGATGGAGGCCATGTTTAGCAACGTTATTGAATTAAGAACATTAATCTTTATATGATATAGTTAGTTGAGTTTTTTATTAATTTTTATTTGTTAATAATTCAACAACCGCTAACTTTTAATATAAAATATGACTTGCCATAAAAAAAATCCGCAACAAATTAATTTCTACAATGAAAATGTTAATCGGATCACTACGTCAAAGAGTGACATCTATACGTAAATGGTAGCAACTCAATCTCATTTATATCTGATAAAGCGTTTCGCAGTTATTTTGAAACAATTAAAATTCTTTGCCAAGAACATGTAATTCCCTGTATCCGTCCATCTATCACGCATAAATTTCACAACTACAACACACCCCGTATTCAGTTACCTCTCTCGTCGAATCCTAAAATGTCGTTCCCTACCGAACTTGTCCTGCCGGATTCCATTTCATGTTTATGCCTGAATAACCTCTGCCTGGCGTGTCCCCTGCCGTTATCCAACTCGCCGTGAGTCAACACGCCTAACAATGTAGACTTCCCCGCATCCACATTACCGACAACTGCCACACGTATTTCCAAGAAATCTAAAACGTTACGAAAGATGAAGTAACATTATTTCACAATAAAATGTGGAAACTAGGGATTTATGAATAAAACACAAGAAACATTTGATTTTACCACTTTGGTCTAGCATTCGACGAATTAAATACTGCAGCACCATTCCCCTCGTTTCTTTACGCTCCCGTAACTTCACGCAACTGCATTCAAGTGTGTTCGCTAAAGATTGTAGAGTAGCGATTGCGGCTTCAATTTCGTCCTCCAGCAACCCATTCTCGGTACCGTCTGGGGATCCGCCAATCTTAAGAGAATTAAAAATTATATTACTCCAATGAAACTGGAGGTAAAGTCGTTTGCATCGACAGATTTGGCATCCATGGCTCAAAATTGGAGTGTTAAATAAAAAATTTGCCAAAATCCTTTATTTTATTATACAGGGTGTTAATTATAAGTATGTCGACAAAATTCTTTAACACGACTGAATATTTTGACACTACTCATAAGGCTTTAGAGATGCTTATGGTGTTTCCAAGAAAAAAAAATCATTTTATTTGAAAAAACAAATAATTTTAAATTTATTAGTTTTTTACTTTTATTAGCGTTTTCACACACTTCATTAAATCTACTTTAGAATTATTTATTTGCTAAAAAAGTTTATATGATTTTATTTTTAAATATTGCGATTTCAAGTACAATATAATCATGAAAGGTTCCAAAAATTGACACAATTTTTACTACCTCTAACGAACATGCAGTTTTGCACGTCACAATTTTTTTTTTGGAATTGTATTTTTAACAAAAAAACTTTTATTGAGAAATGAGTAGTTCTAGAGTTATTTTACATTCTGTGGAGTTAATGAAAATTTAAAATAGTAAATAAAGTAAAAACGGTTTGTTAATAAAATGAGACATGATTTTTCTCAGAAACACAGCAAAAAGTTAGAGGTAGTGATGAAATTTTTAGTGGTGTTAAATCTCTGGGATTTTCCATGAAACCGACTCCCAGTATTTCTCAGACATACAAAAAAATTACTTCCAAAATCAATAGATTTTTATCTTTAATTAGATAAGTCGTGAGCCTAAGTTTCATCATCTTGCATCAAATGTCTTTGGATACTTGAGAAAAGGTATTTTTTTTTCATTTCAACATCCTGTATCGTAAACTATTGATTTGCGGACCCAAGCTTATACAGGGTGTTTCCCATAAGAATCGATGGAAAATAAATCATTTAATTTTAGTAATTATTCACCATATTTTGGGTTCCCTGCATTCTCCTGGTCTGTGTCGGGTCTTATTCGAAACACCCTATACATACATAACATTTTTGGCTCAAAATCGCTCAAAGATATGCTCCTTAAAGATTGTCCATGTACTTAGATACCCTTCACATATACTCTCATAATTATATAAAGTTTTACTTGTTTAATGACACAAAAATTGTTATCATGATTATTTAAAACACATGATGCTACAAAATTATTACTATTAATTTTTTTTCTCAATTTTGCTATGTAAGAATTTAGAGTATAGTAATTCTCCTATAAGTAGGCATTTTTTACTTTTCTTCAGATTTTCGACTACAGTATATATTTGTTAAATATTCACACCAACATACCTCCAAAATAACTTCTCCCCTGCCCTCTCCCAATTGCTGCTTCAGTCTTTTCAGTAACAGTTCGTACTGTTTCTCGGATGGCGCGACGAGTACATTCCTGCTCAATATTTTGTCATATTCGGAACCTACGTCTATTTTATCGACAAAGGAACTCAAAGATTCTTTCGGCTCACTCATAATGTCTTACAAGGTCTACACACTATAACACTACTTATTTAAATTAAATAAATATATTTATTATTAAAATATGATGAGTTAGGCCGTCCCAAATTAGTGAAAACATCTATAACGCAGAATGTATTAATGTTTAGCAATAACATTTCTTCTTATTCAAACACAGTTTCTGATGTATCTGAACTGAAGCACCTGAAAAAAATATCAACAATTTATATAAAGCAAATATGGAGGGGAGTGGACTGTGTTGCACAGGCATAGTATAGAATAAAAAAAAGGCATAGGCCAAAAGTAATTAGTTGTAGAAAAGTAGCATTTTAAAAATATTAATGAGTACTTTTTACAAAAATTTATGACTATCATAATTTTTATTAAAAATTTACAAAATTATCACTGCATTATGTTGCATAATATCAGCGACTGAAACATCAGTCACTTATATTTTTATTGCATCATCCTTACTGGTTAATATGGGCAATATTTCATCATATTAGGGTTGAATGGAGTCAGATAAGGAATTATGTTCGAACATAGGATGTATGTTGATTAGCGACTGATATGTGGAAGAAACAATATTTTTTTAAGTGGTAGATAAGTGCATCATTAACACGAAAAACCTACACAATTTTTATTTACTTTCTCCGAGGTGTTGACAATGGCGCTTAAGCAGGATTTGGGTTAGTATGCAGAACTTTAGTTAGTGCACCTGTACACCCTCCACTATATAAAAATGTATCAGTGAGTACAAACACTTAAAATATGTACTTAATAGTGGAATATTAATTTAACGAACAATATATTTTTTCCTCTCCTGAAAATTTTACTATTCTGGTGGTTGTGTTGCACACTTTGCACCACTGCGTAAGAGCACCGTTGAACGTTAATAAATATTAATAAACTTCATCACAAAACAAAATAATATTACTGATATGAAAAACTAAGTTTAATAAACAGTGTTTTAACTAATATTTAGTTAATACAAAAATTTTATGATTAAAAATATCCATTGTTGAAATTATATAAAAACATTAAAGCTCGACTTACCAAAATATTGCTCGTTTCTCTTCTTGCGTTATCACACTGCTTCTCTACATCTAAAAAAAATTACAATTTTTAACAAAAAGTAAATAATGCCATTAGTTTTATAAGCTAAGCTACATTTGATGGTAACACCACAGTTCACAAAATCGAACAAATTTATTTATAAATGTTGACCTAACTAAAGAATACTCTAAATATATTCTTGATGTTTTCCATTATTTTACATTAAGCTTAAAGTGAGATTTCCTGAATAAATAACATACGTTTTGTTGTTATATGATACACTGAACATTTTTGTTCTGCGATCGCACCTTTCAAATTATACCATGTTGCTAATCGCTGTACTTTCTGTCCTCAGTGTTTAATAACAACTTTCTATCACAACTTGTATGGGTCGAAAATATGTGACAATATATTTAAACATAACTATAAAAAATAATGTTATTATGTTTCACAAAAGTATATCAATTATTAACTTATTTTTGTCCTCTTCATTAACACAACTCACTACTCTTTATATGGTGTTATTGCTAACAAGACCTTCCTTATATCACTACACCGTTATCCAGGATTTTAATTTAAGCGTTGTTAGTTTATAGCCAATGCCCCATTAGAGAAGAAATAGAAAAATTACATCTCGTCTTACATATGGTATAAAATTATTTGGAGGACAATAATTCATGGTATAAAATTAAATGTATCACCAGCTCAATTTTCAGTATTTGTATACATTACAACAAATTTCAAATATGGAAATATTTACTTATTTCAAAAACTTGTCAGCTGCTGAGACACTAATCAGAAATAGATAACAGAAACAGTTCGTATGTTAATAAAAATAAATGACACTGACAAGTGACACGACACTGGGACTAGGTGACAAGACAGGTAAAAGGTAAGTATAAATTGGCGTGTTCCCTCTTCGTGGAATGCAATCAATTACTAGTGCCTAGAGACAACCAATCCACTTTACTTCGAGGCTCTCGGTATATTAAAAAAAAATAAACTGACATGATAAATTTTTCTGTCTATAAAATGTCGGAAAAATACCATAAATTGTAAAAAAGATTCAATTAAAGTATCTAGCTCTATCCTGCACGTAATACAAAAAACACACATGCAGGGATCTGCCAAGCAAAGTAGATTGGCTGTCTCTAGACTTTGGTTTGATCTACTCGAAACCTAAATTTCAAATTGTATCTAATTTTTTAATTATATAAATAATGTGTAGCTGACAGTTTTTTTTAAATAACAGATGTCAGCGAAATTGCATTCATATTTTAACTATTAAAATGCATTAAGACCATTAGTAGATAATGATCCTAGGCTGCATAAAGTAAATGATCTGACCCGATGATTAGGACAAAAGTTGCAGGGTTTTGAGTGAGCAATCCAACGGTGACCTTGACAGTCAATTAGAGGTCAAGTTGAAAATTTTAAATGGAACCGTAATTTTTGACCCCGGAAATTTTTACGTTCGGATATGACCTTGACCTTCAAGGTCGTTTACAATTGAGTGAGCGTAAAATTTACCATGTCTTTGACTATGACGTAAACGTAATTGTAACGTTAAACGTAAGCAAAGAACTTGTTTAATAATGCTCTTACGAAAAAAAATTTAACGGCAGAATTGTTCCGAAAGTAAAAATAGCGATAACTTTCAAGGTAATTTTAAGATCAGAATGGTTTTTAAAACGGGAACTCTTACATTTGCCCCCAGTAATCGAAAGGGTGACCCCGAAAACCCCGAGTATATTTAACCTTCGGAGGCAGGCTGTTGGAAATACTGTGACCTTGAAAGTACCATGCCCTGAAGGTCACATCCGAACGTACAATTTTTCGTTCATTTCATTTCCGTGATCATAAGTATAAGGTTCCATTTAAAATTTTCAGGTTGACCTCTAAATGACCTTCAAGGTCATGGTCAAGGTCACCGTTGGATTGTTCACTCAAAACCCTGCAACGTTTGTCCTAATCATTTTTTTGTTTGACCCATATTTTCTGATAGACGAGGTTCCAAACTTTTTTAAAACCCTGTATGAAAACGATACAAAATAAAAAAAAAGGAAAAACGAAAATCATCTGAAATATATCAAATATAAATTTTCTATATTATCTCAACCAATTTGTATCAGATTAACCGAGATGCCCCAAGCAGATTTCCCAAAGTCAGAACGGTATTTAAGCCAAATTGCACCTTAATAACTTCATAGTTATGATTTTAAAGAACAGACTTCAGATTTCCACTTAATAAAACAACTTTTATACATACTAAAATTTATTATTACAATTATAACTAAACAGTACTTCTAGAAGAATAGTCCATATTCTCTTAAAATTTAGTAAAAAAAAGTATACTTTACAGAAGCAGTTGGGTTGATATTGAATTTTTCAACATGATACGTTTATACATTAAATCAATAAATATACCTATCACATCAAAACAAAAAATATGTAATTCTGCACAAGCAATCTACACAGTATATTTTAATTGCACGATTCGCTGGAAAACTATATGCAGATAAACGTCCTTTTCAAATCACATAAAAAACTTAAAACACTGGGACTGGACAATTTTCACACGGATTTGCAATTATTTAAAACTGATTATAAATTAATTAAGTGAAAATAATAAATATTTATTAAAACTTCATTTGGAGCCCCAATGAACTAAGTCAACGATTAATTTTGAATCCTTGCAGAGAAAATTAGTACTTTAAACGTCGAGTCGAAACAGAACTTTTGGCCGCTGCGGGAGAACCGTATCCAAAGAATTAATCCAGGCTTACACAACTAAACCACATAGAACTACAGAAAGATTTTTTTTTAGAGTATATTTTTTTTACAATGAATTTTGTTTAATCTACCTATTTAACTAAGTGTGGTACAAATAAACTTAATTATATGAACATTTAAGACAGACAAATGAATAGTTCATGATTAAATGGATAGATGAAAAACCATTTTTTGCCATTCTGGCAAAGGGGAGCGACATCGATGGAAGTGGCAAAGAGTAAATAAATCACGTAGCGTAACGCTTTGTCCATAATCTGGCGATACGGTCGTGCTCCTCTCGATTCTGCAGGTATTGGGTCGCTATGCTTCCTACCAGGGGGTCGGCTGAAAGTGATCGCTTATTACATCTTACTCATATTATTTATTTAAACATTTTCTTTGCCATTACAATCTATATATACACAGGGTGTGCCATTTAACACTCCCGCTGCCAATATCTACGAAATGAATAAATTTATTTTAGTTCCGAAAACTGGGGTTGTTAGGTCCCTCGAATTGCTTCAAATTGCAGTTAAAATTGATTAATTGTTAGTTCAAATCTTTCTGTATAGATGGCGTGGCGATATTAAAAAATTTTTTGTTCTCTGGAACATGGAAACTTTAAAAATATTGTTAGAATGGCTTTATTCACATCACATACTAACTAACAAACAATGAATTATAAAAAAAAACGAATGATCAACTACAGAAAAAAAATGTTCAATGGTAAATCTTATAAGGGTCAGAGACGAACCGTATTTTATCAAATGTTATTAAAAAATGCAGTCATAGGTGGCTCATGTCATTTGTTCAAAACAAAACAATGACAGATGACACATATTAGTTTTCCAATAATACAGTTTTATCAGTTTGCGTCTTTCAATTTAACTATACTAGTTATACAATTTACCATTGAACAATTTTTTTTTCTGTAGTTGATCATTTGTTTTTTTATAATTTATTGTTTGTTAGTTAGTATGTGGTGTGAATAAAGTCATTAAAACATTTTAAAAGAATATTCTGTCTCGATGTGATTTAGATAAAATAATAGATTTTTCTGTTATGTCATACATTACATATTGAAATCAACATATCTCGAAAACAAGTAAATTTAGAGAAAAACCTTATATTACAAAAATTACTCAAAATTTAACGATCTTTCAGATGGACTGCATTTTCACGTTCCAGAGATCAAAAAAATTTCTAGTATCACACCATCTATACAGAAAGATTTGAATTAACAATTCTAACTACAATTTGAAGCTATTCGAGGGACCCCAACCCCAATTTCTGGAACTAAAATAAATTTCTTAATTTCGGAGATATTGGCACTATTGGCAGTGGAAGTGTTAAATGGTACACCCTGTTTATACAGGGTGTAACCTAAGTACATTAAAATATTTAAGTGGGGGTATTCCTGAGTTAATTCTAAAAAACAAAGTTTATATCAACCTTTGTCCGGAAATGCTTCGTTTCCGAGATACAGGGTGTTGAAATTAAAATTAAACAAAATCATTATTACAACAGCTGCTGAATGTGGCTACCTCGACATTAATATGAGCTTCTGCCCTCCTCGCCAAAGAATCCCGTACCCGGAAAGTACCAAGAACATAAAATTCTCAACAACTTCATTTTGCGCCCAATGGACTCGGCAGATTGCATCTTGGCAGAAATTTGCAAATTTTTCGAAAATGGTGTCTTCTAGTGTTGTTAAGGAAGTGTACCTTTTTTCTTAAAATATCGTTTATTCATAAAAAAATTGCAGAAGTCTTCTGTCAAAAAAGTTATGGCAAACTAAATTAATAATGATAGCCCTCTAAGTGCGGCACAAAAATTAATACTAAATTATGATTTTTCACTTCAAAAAACCCCCGGTTACCAAATTTTGTGTGAAAAATGTATCTTTCGTAAAAGTTATTTAGAAAATTGAAAATAAAATTTTAATTTCAACAGCCTGTATCTCAGAAAGGAAGCAGTTCTGGACAAAGGTTTATATAAACTTTTTTTCTTAGAATTAACTCTGGAATACCCCACTTAAATATTTTAATGTACTTAGGTTACACCCTGTATAACAAATTTTAGAAAAATTAGAATATTTTAAAAATTCTAGAAAAATAACGTCCCGTTCAAGGAGTCCAATTAAAAAAGAAAGAAAAAAAAATGTAAATTCATGTTATAAAAAAGCAACAAATGTGATGTTAATGTCATTTAAAATTGATCAAGTTTTAATTGCAAATAATTCTGCCAGAGCAAAAGCTATGCACCTACACATTATCAAAGTATCTGGCATTAAATAATGAAGCCAAATACAAAAAATTTCATTTTGGGATTTATTTCGAGATGCCGAAACAATGCCTTAAATAAATAACATTTAATGCTCCTCTTTTGATGTGTTATTAAGTTGTAGCTAATAAAAATAGTAATTTTTGCTATCTTTAGAAATATCAGAAAAATAAAATGTGATTTATTACATTTTCTATTAAGGAGGATCATTGCTCAATGCAAAGAAAAATATTCTTTATGTCTAAAAGTAAGTAAATTGAGATACTTGCTTGTAAATATTGATTAAAATAAGTTTAAAATAAAAATTATATATTTCGATTCCTCAATTATTATTTTCTACCCAATATGCATAAATAAATGCCAAAAGGTGCAAAGGAACTTGGCAACAGTGCACGAGTACCTAGTTTATTATTTCTAAGTTGGCCTTGCCATGTATACAGTGTTTCAGAAAACATGGGCCAACGCTCGGGGACAGGTTCCTAATCTAAAAACAAGATTGTTTTTTCATATCAACATGGGTCCGATTTCACTTCATTCCGTAGCTACAAGGTGTCAAAGTTTTAAAATAAAATAGTTTTTTTTCCATAAACACAGATTTCCATTTGAGGGAATTAAATGAAATTTGGGAACATGTAAAAGAGCTTGTTTATAAAACTACCGTCACTTCAAGGGAAGATCATTGGCAGCGTATATCAGAGCATTCGCTTTAATTCACCCAGACATAGGAATATTTCGACGAGTTAAAAACACCATCAAAAAAGGAAATCGGAGTTGTACTCGAGCTGAAGATGGACACTTTCGACATAGTTAGTTGTCCAAATTTCATTTAATTCCCTCAAGTGGAAATCTAGATTTTTGGTAAAAACATATTTTATTTTAAAACTTTGACATCCTGTATCTAAGGAACGAAGCGAAATCGGACCCACGTTGATATGAAAAAATAATCTTGGATTTAGGTTGTCTGCCCCCGAAGCTAGGCCCATGTTTTTTTAAACACTGTATAGGTATACATTAGTTGTATACTTTTTACTAAAGAATTTTCTTACTTCTGAGACTAACTAAGACTAACTTAACTAAGACAAAGTGAAGTAAAAAAGACTTAAGAACGGAAATTGAAGTCCCGTTTCATCTAACAAAGTACTACAATATTCATATAGATGTCGCTACAGGAAATACGTTTATAGTAAAAATAGTACGATAATTTCATTCATTCAAATTCCGGCAAAATACACCTAAAAAAACGAGAAAATGCCAGGTGCACGCACACGTGCACGATAATCAGTTGTCCGGCCTATACATCCATCCCACTCTCTTGCTATCTCATAATTGCATATGAAAAGAGGAGGGTAATAAAATAATAAAAACTCCAATTTGCGGCCGCCGGTTTTTTATTCTGAAAATATTTCTATTTTCTATCTTCTACATATTATTATGTACATATTTACAAAAAAGGAGGATGGCAAGTGGTTGTACAAATTTATAACATTTGCAGCCAACTAAAAATTTTATTTCATATTATTTTCTACATTTTAGTACTTATATGGATTCGGACCAGAGTAGGTGCGAATGTAGTTATTTCTTGTATGGATCTTTGAGCTGTTATCTTTTATTGTTGCGTTGTGGCTGCGAAATATTTTATTTGTGGAGTTTACTATTTTTTATATGAAGGAAAAAACATTAACAGAGTAAGTATTACAATTTGCTAGGCATAGTTGTACTTAGTACTAAATTCAAGTAAATAATAGATATTAAAATAAATATGTAGGTATTGTATTTGATTATTTGAAAATAAAAATTACATATGCGACAATGGACTTTCCGCTTACTTAGCCGTAATATAAATATGACATATTGTCGTTGCAATGCACATACAGGCTGTTCCAATAGTGTGACAAAGTTTATAATTATTTTCAGTTATAGTTGTATAGGGCAAAATCTTCAGGCCAAAAACAAGATTTTCTGAACGTTTAATTCGGTCTGAAAATAATGAATAATGGAAATAATAATAAAATGTGAATCCGAGCAAGTAACTTTTTTCGTATCACTACTACAGGCAGTTATACTAAACTTTATCGCACTATTGTGGCACCCTATATATGACTAGATATATCATTATGGTAAATCAAAAGCATAATAGGTAAAAATGTATAATTATCTATGTTTATAACAAATATTATCTGGTAAAATTCTTTTCTTACTTTCAGATACAGAGACAGTTAAATATAACCGGAAGAAGTCTATATGTTATTTCGTAATATACCTATAGTGGTGAAAACAACCCGCTCTATGTAGAACAAATTAAGAAAGATGAAGAATTATGGAAAAAATCAATGGCAACAAATTTAGAACAATTTTATAAAAATTGTATACTACCAGAAATAATATACAAAAATATTCCACAGGGAAAAAGATGTATGGATCCACAATATATTATAGAAGCTCAAATTAATAAAAAGAAATTATTTTATTTTATGATTTTTTAAATTTTTTCCTGTTCTACTGTACCTATTCTATTTATTTCTTTATTAATTTAGTTTATTTACATATTTATTAAACTACACTGTTCCACAGAATTTCTGTTTATATTGGAGGTATTAAAGTACCTACAACTATTTTTTCAAGTGAAGTGCACTGAATACCTATTTCTCATAAAAAAAATTTAGTCTCAAATCGTACATAATTCTTTACACAATTTTTGGACAAAATAAGTATATCGTACATATTTTTTATATTTTCTCATTATTATGTATATTCACAATTAAAATTCTATTTACATTAATATGCGAATTTTTTTTATCAAGAATTACTTAATATTAATTATTAAAAATATATATATTTTTCATTTCTGTTTATACCAAAGTAAGCCGCTTTATTCACAAATCGTAATTATAACATAACTTTCCGTTATGAACAACTTTTCTTATTAACATTTTTTTATATTATCAAAAACAAAAGCAGTTTATTTTTCAACGTTATTAATTTTGTTAAATTTCTGATCACCCTGTATATATATAAATTACAGTTTTTCATGACAAACATATTCAATTAAAAAGCAAAATATTTTTTGTCACGAATTACTTTTTCTAGTAGAATAGAAAATAAAAATGTTTTCCCTCTTATCCACTAACCGTAGATACTAATATAGGTATACTAATTATAAATTATAGTTTTAAATAAACTAAAAATTGTTTATATTTCATATTTTCTAAAATTATATAATAGTATGGACTTGCACTGTTACTTATATACTTTTATACAATAGTATATCTAAAATGATCATGACATTCTTTAAATATTTATGTATCAATTAACAGAAACCATGACTACCAATTCAGAATCAGGTTATACCAAATTAACCACAATACAACAGCTGTTTGTTAAAAATAACCCGAGTCCCCGATAAATTTTTACTAGTGCGACATCTATTACAAATCAAGCGAATTAAAAGTCGGAGATAATGCTATTCATGAATGAATATTTTTTAATAATTTTATTCCAATATAACTTTTTAAATAATAAAGTGTTGAACAAACTATGAAATAAAGTCTAATCAGTTTATTTATTAAAAGATAACTATATAAAAAATTCCATAATTCTATAATACCATGAAGAAATAATCGTTTATTTGTAAAAGTCCAAAAAACCTTCATATTTAGAAATTAATTTCTCACGAATTATTTACCTATCCCAATTAATTTTTGCTTTACTGTCTTCATTTATACTTTGCCAAATGTGATATGAAATTTTACTACTTTCTTCCATTGCTTTAAAAAGATATATTGGAATAAAAAAGGGCTGTTTTCTACCATTTTTCGGTATAATTTAGGCAACCAGAGATGCATCAGTTACCATCCTTAAAAGATTACATTTACAGATTCATGGTTTCAGATTAGACTATTCAGTAATTGGTTATTTGCAACAATAAAACATTTTTTTTTTTAGAAGACAATTTGACAGATCATCTTCACAGATATGTAAAAATGTACAGAATTTTCATAAGAAAAAAACATAATTGCTCCTATGTCTTTGAAACACCGGATTTTCAGAAAGAGATGAATTTCCTGTGAGAAATTAAGGAGTAAATATTTTACTTTTCTAATACTTTCTAAGTATTTGTTAATTAAAAACATTTAATCACACATTATAGAAAATCGTCCAATTTATATAACTGGAGAAAAGTTATAATTAGGTAATTTACATTTAATGTAGTTATCGGAAAAGTTCCACACATCAAGCAATAATAAAAAACTGCTTCAAAGCAATCATAATAATTAAATTAAAACATAAATTATATTTAGCCAATGTGAAAATAAACTTATATTCAATACATTCTGAATTAGTTTTGTTTGATGTATACCATCCACAAATAAATTGAGAATTAATTTTCCCAATGACTGAAGGTTTACTATTAAGAATGGGGTATCCGAGGTTATTTAATACAAAAAAATATATTACCGAAAAAAAACATACCTGGATTGCAATCAGTAAGTAAAGAACAAATTGACAAAAGGACCTTCGAAATGGTTAAAGCAGGGGACCAGTTATCCTTTAAAATATCCAAGCAGATTACGCCCTGACTGTTGATGTTGCAGTGATAAATCCTGGTGCGGAAAGTAACTTTTGGAGGTTTGAAGGGGTACTCTGGCGAAAAGTGTATATCGAGGAAAAATACACCTCCTTCATAGACAGATCCTGGAGGTCCCAAAATAGTGGACACCCATTCGTAAAAATTTTCTCCTTTCGGTCCTGCACTACAGTTTGGAGGAGGATCTAATGTGATCTCGGCCAATTCCTTTTGAATGCGTTTAGCAGATGTTCCAAGAGCTTTAGACATTTTCGGATTTGGTTTGGTTTCTTTTGCTTCTTTTTGATCACCCACAGCTGCTTGTCCCCCCCGTCCACGGCCAGAACCACTTGATCCAGCTGATGACATTTCTAACTAAAAAACAAATTGTATTCTTTGTGTACCAAGCTCCACCTGGTTTAACACAAGAATCTGCAGCATTCTATAAACGGTACTAGTCGGTTATACTTACAAATAGAAACTAAACCCTGCAAATAATCTCTTCAGTTTAAAAAAATACGACCCTTTCCCAAAATTAAAATTGATTCTTGTCAGCCAAGTCGGCCATTTTGATGTCTGAATACAGAAATTCTAATAATGAAAAATTCATTCAAGTTCTTTAATAACTATTATTGTCCCTACCTCAACTTAACGACAGTTAAATATAAAAGTTTAAAAATAAAAATACTTATTGTAAGAATCACTTTCAAGTGCATCGACAATCTTCCTTTCGATACATTACTTAAAAATTAGATAAGGTTGTTTCCATAATCATAACATAACACAACAATGAAAAGAATACGTTAAATAGTTGTTATTGAGACTTACCAAAAACTTTTTTACACTTTAAAACTGAAAACAAACTACACTCCCTTTTAGAATTTTCGGCTCATGGCGTACTTCTTACAAGGACACAAATGGAAGAGGACAAGGCAACCAACGTTGTAAAAATAAATGAGCTATCGTAAAATAAAAAATAATAATTCACATTAATATAATTTTAATATTATTTTACGTAATAATGTAATAAACATTTTGCGAACAACCATAGTTTGCTTTTCAAACTAATACCTAGATAAGATAAATTTTGAAAATTATTTTTAGTAGTAGGGAATTTATTTATATTTTGTAATGTTTAAAACTTGTTATGAGAATCAATTGTTGACATATGACCTAACCTATCATTTTTGTAAAATATTCTATACTATACACATATTTTAAGATAGCACATTTTATTTAAAAACATTCAAGATGGGTAAGCGTCAGCATCAAAAAGATAAAATGTATTTAACTTACACCGAATGGACGACACTGTATGGAGGAAAAAAATTAGGACAGCCTTCAAAAGAGGAAGAGAATTTTAAACGTTTACCCTTTGATCATTGTTGTCTATCATTGCAGCCATTTGAAATACCTTATTGCGATTTAGATGGAAATATCTTCGACTTAGAAGCCCTCTTACCATTTCTGAAGAAATATAAAATTAATCCGGTAACAGGTAATCCTTTGGAATTAAAGTCGTTAGTGAAGCTAAACTTCCATAAAAATTCTGAAGACGAGTTTGAATGCCCAGTACTATTTAAACCTTTTACCAAAAACTCACATATAGCTGCAATTGCTACCACAGGAAATGTTTATTTAATGGAAGCTATAGAACAACTAAATATAAAAAATCGTAATTGGAAAGATTTGATTACGGACAAACCATTTGAAAGAAAGGATATAATTGTCTTGCAAGATCCAAATGATTTGTTAAAATTTAATATTTCGAAATTCCACCATGTAAGAAATAACTTAAGAGTAGAAACAGAAGGTAAATTTTATTCATGTAGATACTGTATTATCCATTTTTTACTTAACTTTAATTAGAGATGTTGCAAAATATATCCAAATATTAAATATTCTAATTTTTAATTTTAGAGGAAATTATTGACAAATCAAATCCACAGGCTAACTTAAAGTCTATAAATTCAGAAACTAAAGACACGCTGGACGAGCTAAATAGGGAATATCGAGTGTCAACAATAGAAATTAATAAATCCGAAAGTACCGCAAAAGCCGACAAATTCAATGCAGCTCATTACTCCACTGGTGAAGTTGCAGCCAGCTTCACTTCGACTGCTATGAATAGGAAATTGATCCATGAATCTGCTATTGTACATGAAGATGAAGTTAGGTACCAACGCGTAAAAAAGAAAGGTACGATTATTCAAAATTTAGTGTTTTTTCTATTTATCTCATTTCAGGATATGTTAGACTTGTGACAAATGTGGGAATGTTGAATTTGGAATTGTACTGTGATGTTATTCCGAAAACGTGTGAGAACTTTATAAAACATTGTGAGAACGGATATTACAATGGAACAAAATTTCATCGATCGATAAGGAACTTTATGGTAAGTGTTTTACTCGTGTTACATCACGTAATCTGCTTCTATGTTTCTCATATAGGGTCGACCTCAGGTACATTCTGATGATAAAGGCGGTTCTTATAAATCATAGAAATATTGCATTTGCAATGAAAAATTTCTATTTTTTTTTGTGAAACAGTTTTTTCTATTTTATTTATTCAAAAATGTCTCCAGATTTATGCGTTAATGTGTTATTTTTCAAAAACTTTAACACCCTACATTTTAAAAATCTCGATCTTGTACAAAACAATAAACAGAAATCGATTGTTGAATTTGTATAAATTGCGTTGGTATATTATTTTGTAGATTCAAGGCGGAGATCCTAAGAACACTGGTAACGGGGGAGAATCGATATGGGGAGGCAAATTTGAAGACGAATTCAAACCTAATTTAACCCATACGGGTCGGGGCGTCTTATCGATGGCAAATTCCGGAAAAAATACTAACGGATCTCAGTTGTAATGTATTCCAATTTTTACATGTACTTAAAATTTATCGTATTTCTTTTTTAGTTTTATTACCTTTCGTTCATGTAGACACTTGGATAACAAACATACAATTTTTGGAAGGGTTGTTGGTGGTATGGAAACACTAACGGAAATGGAAAAGATAGAGGTCGATAATAAAGACAGGCCTATTGAAGACATAATATTGATGAGGGCTGAAATTTTCGTTAATCCATTCGACGAAGCTGACGAACAGGTACACATTTTTTTTATAATCGTGAAAGTCCAAGTTATTTTTAACTTGTAGTGGTAGTGTTACTATTCTCTCAATGATATTTTTACATTTATATTTTAACTACAGAAGACCCTGTAAAAATCTTGATTTTGACCATCTTTTCTTTAAAAGGTAGACCAAAACCTGTGTTTTTGGACAGTATGTAATATTTTTATTAATCAAAGCATACTGCAATATTTTTTTTGGCAAAAATTTAAGAAATCGTCAGTATTTTTTTATTTAAAATATGAATATACCCCTGTACCCAGCACCCTCTTAAATTGTTTGTCTTTTTTCATATTTATTCTATGGTTTCTTTTGTAATAATAAATACATAATAATATTCATATATTTATGTGCAAAAATTTTATTTCAATTTTTTTTTATGATATTGAAGTAGATTTTATATACAAATATTAATATTGCTTGAATTGTAGTCCAAAACGCAAACTTATTTGTGTCGGTCTGTACTTTTTTTACAATAATAATAATAAT